CCCCCTCCCCTGTAATCCTCTCCTCACCTCCCCTGCCCTGCTGTAGCGTGGCCGAGCTCATATCCGGTCCGCGACCCGGCGCACTGACAGGAAGTGCACACTCAGTGTGCACTTCCTGTCAGTCCGGCCGGGTCGCGGACCGGAAAGGAGCTCGGCCACACTACAGCAGGTTAGGGGAGGTGAGGCAGTGCGGCAGCCGCCTGAGCGCTCTCTATAGAGCGCTCAGGCGGCTGCAGAATTTAAAGGGCCGGCGATGGGGGCACAGGGCGCCCCCTCCTATATGGCGCCCTAGGCGGCTGCCTAGTTCGCCTTATAGGAAGCGCCGGCCCTGACCACACCGTCTCAAAGGTAACATTACTAATCTGGCAAATTTCAATGTGAAAATGGAACGTTCTATATTTGACCCTGTAACTTTCCAAAACACCATAAAACCTGGTAATGGGGGGCACTGTTGTACTCGTGAGACATCGCTGATTACAAATATGTACATTTTTTTGCAGTAAAACCTAATAGTATTATGACATTTACAGCTAAAATGTGAGGCGGAACTACAAATTTTTAAAACAAATTAAAATTTCTCACAGTTTTTTAAATTTTATTCATAATAAATTATGTTTCATATATAAATATTTGATATGAAATGAAAGCCCTGTTTCCCCTGAACAAAATGATATATATAAGTGTGGGTGCATTTACTATGAAACAGTTGAATTACGGTTGGACAGACATGTAGCGCAAATGCCAGGTTTTGTTTACATTTTGTTTTGTTCACAACGTGTACATTTGGCTCCGTCCTTAAGGGGTTAAACTGAAAAACAAAATATTTAATCATTGTGGCACTTAAATGGAACTTGCATAATAATTTGGAACAGGGTGTAGACCTGTCAGTGTCGACTTAACAATAGCTCTATTTCCAATATGTCTCGCTAGGCCCCTTGTGTCTGTTTGGTTGGGGCAGGGATCATAGCGTGTCCCGGTACTTAGGGCGGTGTTACCAACTGGGTATAGTATACAATGTGCAATAATAAAACAATTAAACGAAGTATAATACAGTGGTGGCTTTCAAGGGTAAGTGCCCTAAGGTGGCACTTCTTAAGTGGGGGTTGGGTCGGGCCTGTCTGACAGCAGCTTTGGGCTCGACATATCTTGGCCATCCCATGGTGGTAAATGCACCTTTATGAGTAATGCTGCCATGGCTCTATCGCCTGTAGGTCATATTTTTTCTCAGGTGCTATTAGGGTTACTAGCCTGTATGCAGTTGTAACCGCTGGGGTGGCGAGAGTCCGCAGATATGCTATACCTGGCTTTTGTCATTTGGGGGCTTGGCTGTGGGTGTCTTGTCCATGGGTCCATTTACGGCGTCATGGTTCTCCATTATGGACATTATGGAGGTGATCTATTGGGCTTAATAGGACTGTACTTTGGATTACAATCTAGCTGTGCCCCAGTAAGCTGAACTAGCGCATAGTGTTACAACATATTAACATTAGGCATATCAGGTTTATAGCTTGCTGTCTCGTGAGAGGTCAGCGTGAGTCCTCCTTCGGGGATGTACTTCTCGGTCTAGGCGGCCACCATTCTTCGGTTGGCTTCCTGCTTGTGCTTGTATTCCTGGTCTGTTGGTTCTGGGGTATGCCCCACTTGCGTAACAGTTCTGCTCTTTCTGCAGACGAAGTGGCTGTTATTGTCAGGGTACCTGTTGGTGCTGAATCCAGGGAAGACATCCTCTCTGTTTAGGGGCTCCCTGCCCCTAGCATTTCGGCATATTCCGGCCGTTTTCGCGCCGGCCGCGCTAGCTCCTCCCCCTTTTATGACGTGACGGCTAGCGTCGACGTCATGACGTCGGCATTTACATGAAGTGCCGGGAACCGCTATTCCGGACCTTTTGGGGGCGTGGTCCCTATTTAGGTAACAGGGTATTTAAAGGAAACCTTTACTACTGCTCATTGCCCTGTCGTGGTTCTAGCTTGCTAGTCACTCAGCGCGTTCTTTATCTTGTGTTTCTGGTTTTGACCCTTGCTTGTCTTTTGTCCTGTTGTCCTCTCCTCTCCTTTGACTCGGCTTGTATCTCGCTTACCTGTCCTCCGGCTCCCTCGACCTCGGCTTACCTTTTGACTATTCTTGCTTTGTCCCTACGTTAGTCCGGCCATTCTAAGGTCCGGTATACGTACCTCCTTCTGTCCGCACTCTGCGTATTGGATCCCTGTCAGTATCCTGACAGTTATTAGCTTTCCTCCCTTTGTGATGAGGAGCTTGGCTGGGTATGTTGTGGTGTCTGAGTGTTTCCTTGTATGACCGCTTGCGTCGTAGCGTTTCTGCAGAGAGGTCCATGAACATGAGGATGCCTTTAAATTTTTGGGGTAAGTCCTTCCTGGTCCTATGGGCTTGCAGAATCTGTTTTTTTATGTGGTAGTAGTGTAGCCTCTTGAGTACATCTCTCGGTGTGGAGGGTGGCAGATGCTGCGGTCTGGGCATTCTATGTATGCGGTCTAGGAGAACAGCTCTATAGTGTAGGCTGTCAGGTCCTGCAATCCTACCTCTTCCGGTACTCCTCTCAGGCAAATATTGTTACGGCGGGAACTGTCTTCCGTGTCCATGATTTTGGATTCGTGACCAGACAGCTTTTCCTTCAGCCGGTCTATGCGTTCCCCCATTACGTTTTGGGCGGTGTTGAGGCCCTTTTGTATTGTTCTCTAATTGTGAGGTACGGGTGCCCAGGTCAGTGAGGTTTCTTTTCATGTCTGCTTTAGCTGCTGTAACCGTGGTCTGCATCCTGGAGACTCCTGCATCCAGCATGGTTTGAAGCAGTTGCTGTGTGAGCAGAGTATCAGTGTGTTTCCCCGTTGTTCCTGCCTGTTCTGCATCCGAGTCTGTGTCGGCGCCATCTTGGGCCTGGTGCTCAGTTTGTCTGGGTTGAGGAGTTCTGGCCGTGAAAAAGGTTTTTTGCCTCTGTGGCTTTCTTTGTGCGGTGTTGGGACATCGTGGCCCACAGTTTGGTGCTAAGAACGGTGCCAAATAGCTTGTTTTTGCCATGTATAAGAGCCCTAAACAGCGGAACTCTTTCAGTGTGCTGCCATTGCGCTCGATGTCCAGTCACGCCCCCACGTTTACATTTTATTTTAATCAGAACTTGTACTATTGACTCCGTCCTAAAGGGGTTAAATATGCTCAAGACATATTGAACCTTTCCCTATAGTGGGATGCCCAACTGGTATAGAATAAGCCAAATTGGAGATGGTTTTCAAAAGGGGAAACCTTGGTTTCTTATACAGAATTTCCCATTTATATGCATAGATGTTATGGTGATAGGTTTAGTGCCATCAATATAAATGGAACTTTTTCCTACAGAGGGGCGGCCCAATTAGTAAAAACCAAGCCAAATCTGGGTAAGCCAAGATGGTTTTCATATGGGAAAAGCTTGATTACTGTGAGCTTTTTCCTATAATGGAATGCCAGATTAGTAAAACAAACCAAATTTAAGTGAGCCAAGATGTGTTTGTTTATTTATTTATTTATTTTTTATAGACTTAAAGCTTGGTTACTTATTCAGAATTTTCCATCAAAATGCATGGATGTTAGTGTGCAAAGTTTGGTGCCGTAGTTTGCAATCAATATAATTTGATTTGGGACAGATTGAACTTTACCCTATAGAGGGATCCCAAATTAGAAGAAAAAAAGGCCAAATTTGATTGAGCCAAGATTTTTCTAACCGTAAATAAAAATGGTTCTTTATTCAGGATTTCTCTTTTAAGTGCATGAGTATTAGGGTGCCAGATTTAACTTTTTCAGAAAGAGGGATATCCAATTAAAGGGATACCCCAGAACCCTAAATCACTTGCTTGCTAAATTGCTTTATGTGTCTTTTTTAATTTTACAAAAAGTACAAAATTCAATAGAAACTAGAACTCTTCTGAATTTACCTTGTTAACCCCTCAATGCCTCCTGTTAATCAGACAACAAGTCATTTCTGGTTGTGCATTGGATGCATCTATCGTCATTTCCGGTCCGGTGGTATAAAACATATGAGCAAGGTGCCCACAGTCATCATGGCTCGGCTATGAACAACTGATGAGCCCAGCAGCAAGACGTGGCATCGCTCATATGCCGACTCGTCACAAAGAAGAACGTCAAAATGGAAATAATGTTTTATACCACAAGACCAGAAATGACAATAGATGAGTCCAATGCCGGGCCATAAGTGACGGAGGATGCATGCGTACGTGTTCCTCAGTCAGGATTTCAGCAAGACATCTAAATACAGTTTACCCAAAACGCATTTGCTTTTACATGTTTAATAGACTGAGCAGTGCAATTGCACTAAATTTGCTACTGCCTGTTTCTATCAATTGATTTTTGTATTTTATTATTTACTTAATAAATCTTTTATCTATTGGCTATCCTTATTCTGGATTCCTAGAGCCTGGCGAGGCACCTTTGAGCACACTATATAGAGCCTGGTGTGGCTCTGTAATTTGTGAGTGTTACTCTACCTATTATTACATTTTATTGTATATATGGATTGCACTATATGTTTTATGTTTCTATCTTTGTAGGTATATTTTCCTGTTGTCATTCAGCTATCATCCTATATTACTAATTATTACTAATGGAGACCACCCAGTTCTTGATTCATAAGTAATGCAGTGTGAACTTATAAATTTTTGGTGTATTTTATTGTGGTTTTACATCATTCCTTTTCCATGTTTACTATAGTTGTTGTCGAAACACTGCATTATTACAACAGTGCTCATTGCACATTTATCTGAAGCACCAACCCACTGTTTTTCTATATTTTTGTATCATTTGGCACACGTCAGATAGCACTTTTTCCTTTAGTGGTATATCCACTTATTGTGCCAAATTGGCTTGGTTACGTTTTCAGAATTTCCCCATGCATGTCAGGTGTCAGGTTTAATGCCCAATGTTATGGCTAATATCAACTAGCTCAAGAATGATTGAACTATTTGAAAGTTTTCTGATTCTTGGTCACTTTAATGAAAAAAAATCTGGCTCCATTTTGTGAAAAACCCTATACTAGGTTTCTGCATGACAAAGATATTTTGCACCTGGTACTCCTTCCAGAGGTGGTAACCCAGTTCCACATTTCCCTTGATATTTATAATGCTCTCACTGGATGCATACCTCCCAATTGTCCCTATTTGGGAGGGACAGTCCTTCTTTTTTAACCTTATATTTCTCCTTTGTAGGTGCTCATTATTCTTGTGTTTAAATTTATACTAAAGTTCCACAGCAATAATACTCCCAGTAATGTTTCTTCAAAGACAATAGATACGTTTAGAAATCAGTCTGTGTAAAAAGCTTGTCTTCTAAATTACATCTTAGTTGCATATACTGTAATCAATAAGTCACCCAAAATCTCTTGGCCCCACTTATAACCACACTCCCACTCATAAAAGTGTCCCTCGTTGTACATTGAAATGTTGGAAGGAATGCTGGATGCCATATATAAATGAGTGAGGCCGAGTGCAGCAGCTGCTAGGAGATGCTTCTCCTCATGTCTCTGCTGTCATCAAGCAAAATTCTCAAAATATCCGCAGCTAGACAAGCTTGTCACAGTCATCACTGCCCAGAGGACATTAGCACGGGCCTGCTGGTACTTTTATCAGCTGTTTTCCAGAGTCAGTTGCAGGGCTTGATTTACCATTAGGCAGAGTAGGCACCTGCCTATTAGTGTTAATTTCCGTGGCAAATGTAAATTTAGTTTCAGTCATAATCTTTTGACTAAAAAGCCATTTTGGTTTTAGTCGTACTTTATTTATCTGAATTGTTTTAGTTTTAGTTTTAGTTGACTAAATCTCCAGTAAATTTTAGTCAACACAGGGTTTAGTTAAAGCCTCTATCTGTCTACCCTTCCCCAGCCCCTCTGTGTCTCTTTGTGTCCTCCCAGCCCCTCTGTGTGTCTTTGTGTCCTCCCAGCCTCTCTGTGCGTCTTTGTGTCCTCCCACCCCTCTAGGTGTCTCTCTCCCAAGCCCTGCTATGTCTCTTTTGCCTCTTCCATAGGCCCTCTGGGCAGTGTTAATTTTGTATTTTAGTTGTATTTTAGTCATCTTAATTGTTTTAGTTCTAGTCACAAAATTGAAAAAATCTTAGTTGACTAAAATTGTTAGTCGACAAAATTAACACTGCTGCCTACATGCGCCTTTCATTTAGGGGTCTCCTAATCTGTCTTATAAAATCTCTATCCCTACCTCTTGCCTAGTGTCTGCTGCCTCCAGCACTGTGGGATCACTGTATTCAGTCTGAGGAGCAATCCTGTGGCTGGCCCTGCCCTCTCTGACTGATCTGCAGTAGGGAGGGGAGAGAACTCTTAACTGGAGCACACACACAGCTCAACTACCCACACTGCACACACTCACATTGCTCAACTACCCACACTGCACACACTCACACACTCACACAGCTCAACTACCCACACTGCACACACTCATAACTCAGCTACCCACACTGCACACACTCACACAGCTCAACTTCCCACACTGCACACGCACACAGCTCAACTACCCACACTGCACACACTCACAACTCAACTACCCACACTGCACACACTCACACAGCTCAGCTGCACACACTGCACACACACAGCTCAGCTGCACACACTGCACACACACACAGCTCAGCTGCACACACACACAGCTCAACTACCCACACTGCACACACTCACAACTCAACTACCCACACTGCACACACTCACAACTCAACTACCCACACTGCACACAATCACACAGCTCAACTACCCACACTGCACACACTCACACAGCTCAACTACCCACACTGCACACACTCACACAGCTCAACTACCCACACTGCACACACACACAGCTCAACTACCCACACTGCACACACTCACACAGCTCAAATAACCACACTGCACACACTCACACAGCTCAACTTCCCACACTGCACACAGCTCAACTACCCACACTAAACACACTCACACAGCTCAACTACCCACACTGCACACACACAGCTCAACTACCCACACCGCACACACTCACACAGCTCAACTACCCACACTGCACACACTAATACGCACTGCAACCCACACTGAGCACACACCACTCAACTAACCATACTGTACACACATGCACTGCCACTCATACTGTACACACACAGCTCAACTACCCACACTGCACATACTCACACACTCACACAGCTCAACTACCCACACTGCGCACACACACACACACACACTCACACAGCTCAACTACCCACATTGCACACACTCACACAGCTCAACTATCCACACTGCGCACACACACACACACACACAGCTCAACTACCCACACTGCACACACACACAGCTCAACTACCCACACTGCACACTCTTACACAGCTCAACTACCCACACTGCACACACACAGCTCAACTACCCACACTGCACATACTCACACAGCTCAACTACCCACACTGCACACACTAATACGCACTGCAACCCACACTGAGCACACACCACTCAACTAACCACACTGTACACACATGCACTGCCACTCATACTGTACACACACAGCTCAACTACCCACACTGCACACACTCACACAGCTCAACTACCAACACTGCACACACTCACATAGCTCAACTAACAACACTGCACACACTCACACAGCTCAACTACCAACACTGCACACACTCACATAGCTCAACTACCCACACTGCACACACTCACATAGGTCAACTAAGCACACTGCGCACACTCACACAGCTCAACTACCAAGACTGCACACACTCACATAGCTCAACTACCCACACCAAAAATACCACACACATGCACTGTATCCTCATACTGTACACACACAGCTCAACTAACCACACTGCACACACACACATATGCACTGCTACTCATACTGTACAACACACAGCTCACCTACCCACACTGCACACACCCTCACACAGCTCAACCACCCACACTACACACACTCACAAAACTAAATACAATGCACACACTCACACAGCTCAACTACCCACACTGCACACACCCACACAGCTCAACTATCCACACTGCACACACACACACACAGCCTCAACTACCCACACACTGCACACACACACAGCTCAACTACCCACACTGCACACACTCACACAGCTCCACTACCCACACTGCACACACTCACACAGCTCAATTACCCACACTGCACACACTAATACGCACTGCAACCCACACTGAGCACACACCACTCAACTAACCACACTATACACACATGCACTGCCACTCATACTGTACACACACAGCTCAACTACCCACACTGCACACACTCACACAGCACAACTACTAACACTGCACACACTCACATAGGTCAACTAACCACACTGCACACACTCACACAGCTCAACTACCCACACTGCACACACTCACATAGCTCAACTACCCACACTGAGCACACTCACATAGGTCAACTAACCACACTGCACACACTCACACAGCTCAACTACCCACACTGCACACACTCACATAGCTCAACTATCCACACTGCACACACTCACATAGGTCAACTAACCACACTGCACACACTCACACAGCTCAACTACCCACACTGCACACACTCACACAGCTCAACTACCAAGACTGCACACACTCACATAGGTCAACTAACCACACTGCACACACTAATACGCACTGCAACCCACACTGAGCACACACCACTCAACTAACCACCCTGTACACACATGCACTGCCACTCATACTGTACACACACAGCTCAACTACCCACATTGCACACAATCACACAGCTCCACTACCCACACTCACACAGCTCAACTACCAACACTGCACACACTCACGTAGCTCAACTACCAACACTGCACACACTCACGTAGCTCAACTACCCACACTGAGCACACACCGCTCAACTAACCACACTGTACACACACATGCACTGTATCTCATACTGTACACACACAGCTCAACTAACCACACTGCACACACATATGCACTGCTACTCATACTGTACACACACAGCTCAATTACCCACACTGCACACACTTACACAGCTCAACTACCCACACTACACACACTCACAAAACTAAATACAATGCACACACTCACACAGCTCAACTACCCACACTGCACACACTCACACAGCTCAACTATCCACACTGCACACACACACACAGCTCAACTACCCACACTGCACACACACACAGCTCAACTACCCACACTGCACACACTCACACAGCTCAACTGCACACACTCACACACAGCTCAACTACTCACACTGTACTCACACACAGCCAGGGGCGTTTTAGCTGCGAGGCAAACAAGGCATTTACCTTGGGCGGCATTTTTCAGGGGGCGGCAAAAAACGCCGCCCCCCAAATGCCCAGGCAAATGCCTTGTTAGCCTTGTGGCTAACTGACATGCCGGGCGCTGGGCTGGCGGGCGGTGCTGGGCGGGCGGCTGGCGAGGGAGCTCTTCCCCTGAGCAGTCTGCTCAGCTCCCTCGCGCGCCGCAGAGTGAGGCTGGGAGCCAGAAGATGTCGTCATCTTCCGGCTCCCAGCCTCACTTTGCGGCGCAGCGAGGAAGCTGACGAGCTCAAAGGCTCGCCAACCGCCTAGCCAGCCCGGCAACCACTGGACCACCAGGGAGGTAATGAACCCCTCCACCCCCAGCACTCCCAAAGGTAAGGAGGTTGTGGGGGGGGGGGTAAATAAAAAAAATGTGTTAATGTGAGTGAGTGAGTGAGTGTGTCTGTTAATGTGTGTGTGTTTTGTTAGTGCGTGTGTGTGTGTCTGAGTGTGTGTCTGTTAGTGTGTGTCTGACTGTGTGTGTCTGTTAGTGTGTGTCTGACTGTGTCTGTTAGTGCGTATGTGTGTGTCTGACTGTGTGTCAGTGAGTGTGTGTGTCTGTTAGTGTGTGTGTCTGCTAGTGTGAGTGTGTTTGCCTGTGAGTGTGTGTGTCAGTGAGTGTGTGTCTGTTAATGTGTGTATGTGTGTCTGCTAGTGTGTGTCTGCTTGTGAGTGAGTGTGTGTCTGTTAGTGTGTGTGTCTGACTGTGTTTGTCTGTTAGTGTGTATGTGTGTGTCTGACTGTGTGTCAGTGTGTGTGTGTGTCTGACTGTGTGAGTGTGTTTGGCTGTGAGTGTGTGTGTCAGTGAGTGTGTGTCTTTTAGTGAGTGTGAGTGTGTCTGTTAGTGTGTGTGTGTTTCTGTTAGCAAGTGTATGCGTATCTGTCAGTGAATGTATGTGTGTGTGTGTGTATTTAGAAGGCGGGTTGGAGGGGGGTTGGCGCGGGGGTGTTGGGGGGTGCCTGAGTTTTGTCCTGTCTAGGGCAGCACAAAACCAGGATACACCACTGGTAGCAGTACATATGAGTGTGTGCAGTGTGGTTATTTAAACTATGGGAGTGTGTGCAGTGTAGGTAGTTGAGCTGTGTGAGTGTGTGTGTAGTTGAGCTGTGTGTGTGTGTGTGTGCAGTGTGGGTAGTTGAGCTGTGTGTGTGTTCCGTCAGAGTTCTCTCTCCTCCCTCCTTTAGATCAGTCTGAGGGGGCAGAGCCAAGCACAGATCAGGCTCCTCTGAGTAAATAGTGATCCCACAGTGCTGGAGCCGGCAGACACTAAGCAAGAGATAGGAATATAGATTTTTAAACGGCAGAATAGGAGCCCCCCCACAGGATAGTGCAGTGCAAGTAGCTGAGAATGGGGGCGTAATAGACGTTTTAGTTTTTCCTTGAAATATATATTTGTTGTATTTATTTATTGTTATACATTTTATGTTCTTTCTAGTAAAGATTATCTATATGGATAGTATATATGGACTATTAAGTACTCCATTGCTGTACTAATATTACAGTATTTCTAAATGTACTAGTGGAGCTGTGATATTTTGTTTGCACGAATTGTTGTGTTTTTTATGACATGATATATTGTTATTATTATTTATAAAGCACCAACAAGTTCCGTAGCGCTGAACAATGGGTGGACTAACAGACACGTATTTGTAACCAGACGAGTTGGAAACACAGGAACAGAGGGATGTGTCTAGTATAGTTTGCATCGCTTAGTACCATTGCACTTGAGTTTCTGAGATTCTTACTTCAATATTTATTTAGATTTTTTTGCAACATATCTTTGGCTACAGTGTGTCTGCTTTCCTTCACATTATTTACCCTTTTGGCTACATGTTGCATTTATTTAAATCTCATATGCGGGTCATAGGTTGGCTAGTGTATTAGCCCTGGGCTTACCAATGTTTGGTGAATGATTTTGTCCGAAGGGACAGAGCCTTATTTTGTGTGATTCACGAAAACGATAGTTATCCTGATAAAAGTCCCCACATGAACTGAAACGTTGATTTGATGTACCCAAGTATTTAATAAATTTGAGTTGTACTTATGATGTCCACTGAGTGCTCTCCTTCATTGTAATCTATATGATGGAGGTGCACCTTTGTAAATGTTTCAGAAGCGTGAAAGCAATATATATAGTTTTATTCTAAATGTATTTATTGTATATAATTACGTGATTTTATTAATATTTTAGGGTTCTGTCTGATATCCCAGGCAGTAACCCTGCAGCCAATCTGTCAATCATACCAAATATCATATTTGGGCTGGATGGAGGGGCTCGAATGTTAGGGTGTGCTATGCCACCCTAACAGATTTGAAGCCCTCCTTTTGTAGGATGACAACGCATGCCCTAATGTTGGGAGGGGTTAAGGTAGGATAACCACAGATTTCATACCCTCATATATTAGTGCAAATATTTTTTATACTCTATTATTCTACATAGCAATTTTTATCTTCTAAGTGTCTGGATCAGAGTAATTATCAGTGACTTGGAAGTTAATCTTTTCCAGTATGCCCACTTTGGAGTGGAGATCATACTTACTAAATGAGCTCATATATGTCCATGTAGGGGACAGAGAAATGATCCATAAGTTTGATTATTTTTTTTTATTTTTTTTTTATTTATTTTTTTAAAATTCTTTATTTTTGTAGTGCATAGGCATATAACAGTTGCATGTGAGGTACCCCAAAGGCATTCCTCTAGCACAATACGAACAGTGGAACATAGGGGTACAAGGGAGATCAAGCACATTTTTTATATATAAGGGTAGAAACAGTATAGCTTTACTTTGTTTAGGCATTTGCATAACGTTTGCATAACATAACTTTCTGGGCATGTGATTATTTTGCAGTGGCAAGAGATGGTCAAGCTATGAGTAAGTTACTACATGCGTTAAGGAAAGGCTGAGTGAGTCAAAAGATTGGTTATTGCTAGTGGCAGCAGCAGGAGATATGGTGGTAAGAAATGCTGTGACATGGCTGACATAAGTTAGTAACGTGTCGGGTTGGACACCATCATGGCAGGCTGGTATGTCTACCTATACGTGGGTGTTTAGCTTATGAGTAACTAGAACCTTCCTAGCCATTAAGGCTATAGATTAGTGGTCCCACGGATAAGTGTGCTGGACCAACTCTGGTGGCAGGATATCGAGGTTATACTCGGAGAGGCTTGGTAGGTGATTGCTGCGTCCCAAGTGGCATTCCCCCCATGGTCCCTAGCGTTGACAGAGCCATGTGCCATGCCGGGTTGCTGTATGCAAGTGCCCAGCACCAATGAGACATTGGGCTTAGTGTTTAGTTGGCGGCAGTGGCGCTGGCTTTACATTAAGTGTGTAGGTGCAGTTGTGGGGCATACATGGAGCAAAAGAAAGTTGAATAACATAATAAATGCAACTCGTAAAAAAAATGAAGGTACATATTTACACTCTTGTCAAAAATAGAGTCCTCCACTGTCTGCGGTTAGGTATGTCCGCTGTGTCGGTCAAGTCCCCTAGCCAACTCCAGCTCTCAGGGCGTGCAGTCTGGTTGCAGGGATCTTCTTGGTGTTATAGAGTGTCCAGCCTCTTCGTTCGATGCATGGGGTCTCTGCGTTGATATAGGCATGGCCCCATTCCGGTGGGGTGGACCTGCCAACGTGAAAGAGTCTGCGTGAGGTGATGTGTCGCCGGCTGTGGTGTCGCCTCCGAGGTGTGCCAGGGCCTACCTCCGAGTGTTGTCGGTAGGGGTGTTGCGGTGTGGTCTGCCTGGGGCCCTTCGGCCCTGTCCGGTCCCCGTTTAGCGCAGTGTGTCGCTGCAGCGGGACCGCCTTTTCATGCCTCCTAGGTATGTTAAGTTTTGCCGGGCCCTTGTATGGGCGGGTCGCCGCCATAGGTATTGGTAGTCGCTTGGGTTTACAGGCTTTTCGGTTTTGCCATCCGCAGGCTTTGTTGGCGCGAGGCGGTGTGCACGTTTGTTGGGGGATCACCGGCAGGACTGTGACAGGGTGGTATGCCTTGGTCTGTTGCTCCCTGGAGGCTATTGTCCTCCAGAACCTGGCGAACAGCTCATCCAGCCTGGTCTCAAGGTCAAGTTTCTTTGTGCCTCAGGCACACGTGGCGGCGGCCATTTCGGTCTCCATCTTGTCACTAGCGGTTTGCTGGTTGGGGATGCGATTTAGGCTGCTGCCGTCTTCTGCATTCCGTGTAAGCTTGTGGTACTCGATTGTGTGGACCGGGATAACCCCCGCCGGTCCTGAGGGGGGGGGAGAAGCCCGATGCTTCGGGTGCTGCCTTGTTAGGTGAGCCGGGAGAGCGGCCGTCTCTCCCCTGCTCTGCATGTTGTAGGCCCCAAGCCTCCGGTCTGGATTCCCAGCGGGCTTTTGCACGTGTGAGGTGTCCCCCGGTACCCCTGCCTCCATGTAGCAAGGTGGGGTAAGTTGGGGTTCTGAGATAGGCTGTATTCCCACTGTTTTCTGCCAAAAATCAGATCCAGGCCTGGGAGCTCACAGAAAGCGTGTCTGTTCAGCTCCCCGGTCAGGCCCCGCCCCCCCCTTGAAAAATAATCAAGGGGGGGGGCCTGACCGGGGAGCTAAACAGACACGCTTTCTGTGAGCTCCCAGGCCTGAATCTGGTTCAAGCTCATTATATTTATCCATGCCAGGCAACTGCCCAATTTGTTATTTTTATCCCTTTTCTTTCATGTTATCCTTTCCTAAAAAAATATTTAAAGTGTTTTGTTTTTTCCCCATTCCTTATTTTATACTAGGTTTGTTGAGTACCTTTATAGTAACGTCCATTGCTTTGTGATCTACCGATCAGGGATTTTAATATATTACTGCTTGTTAGAAATCTAGAGAATTGTTTGGTATACTCCCTTCCTAATAAAATAACCCCATCCCATGTCAAGTTTTGGGTAATCTATAAGAATGCCACTCACGCCTTGATTTCCTTTTCTCCTGAACACTCGAATGGCCGCTATGATTTAATAACTTGGTTTTGCTGACATCCCATACCTTTGTCTGGGAAGTAATAATCGAAATTTCACATTGTGTCTGACTGTGTGGCAAACACACACTCACTGACACACAGTCAGACACACACATACGCACTAACAGACACAGTCAGACACACACTAACAATTGTTTTTCTTTTTTTTTTATAATTCTTTATTTTTATTGTGCAAGTGATATCAAACGAGCCCGTGTTGCCACATCAGCAGTCACAAGCTTAATAGAATCTTACATTGTCAAACATGGCAAATAGATAGTCTGCACAGTTTTATATTATTAATAAACAGGTGTTAAACTGAGAAGGCATCAATAATAATGAGAGCAACATAAAATGAGATAACATAAGATTAAGTCTAAAGATGAAAGCGTTGCTATTCAGGCTTACAGTGCTAACATTGCTTAGGTGAGCAGTTATCCTGGCTTGGTGTCACATTAAGTTGGCATTAACTAATGTATCTGCGTTGATATCGCTTTTCAGGCGCTTTCACCTGTTTTGTATATCAGGACAGGTGAGGTACACGCTTCTATAGAACAAAGAGCCATAAAGCAACATTTGGACTGCGCTCTAAGTTATGGTCATTCAGTGTTATGGTGTCAGGATCTCCACCTCGGCGTACACGTGCATATTAAACAGGCTAAACAATAGCGTTGACATTAGCGTATTTTTGTTGGTAATTAGTGGCTAAGTTTGTTGGATGATCTTGCTACGTTAACAGATACAGGCATGTAAACTGAGTGTTGTAGGATTGAAATGTGTAGTGCTATACGCTAGCTTAGCCTTCATGCTGAAGACATGTTAGTTCTTGTATTCAGTTATACAGTCTGCCCGTTCTATGGTCATTACAGATAATGCTGGTTTACAGTGCTATAGATGTAGACATGCTGTTGTCATAAGACATCCAGTATATAAAAACAAGTGATTATAGGAACACATTCTTTGTGAGAAAAGGACATAGATTGATCATGAGCACTGTGTGCTATCAGATTATATTAAGGAAAGCATAACTGGTGAGAGTATAAAGGTATAATAACAGGAAGGATCAATTCAGTACTTGCTCAGAGTGGTTGTTTAACTGTCTGGAACACATATTTGAGTATGCATGTTGTGAACAAGTAGTGATACAGGAGCCGACCCAGATACTGTAGTATTACAGTGTGGGGAAGTCTGCTTTGCTGTCTGGGGTCATCCAATGCCTGCAATGGCAATCCGTTGGTGCTGTGTGCCATATTCCATCGAGGCAGGGGCTGGGGCAGTGTCCTGAGAGGTTAGTGTCGGCATCTCACCGAGAAATCCTTTGGGCTGTTGCATTTGTTCGGCGCATGGAATAGATAGGCAGAGGGTCGTGGCTGATCTGTGCACCCTGGCTTGGTAGCTGTTCCCCTTTTTCAATGGCTCAGCTGTAGTATCGCTATGCTGTGTCATTCGGTCCTTCCCTCGCCTTGGGTATTTAGAGGAAAGTGGAAGTATCCGTTTACGGCAGATGATCCTCCGTTTGCGCGGCATGTGCAGGGAGGCAGTGCCTTGGGGTGCTGTCCTCTTAGGTGGCGTTATGGCCATTGCTTTGGCTATGTTTTTCTGCTTTGGGCGGTTAATGCCCCTCTGTCTCTCCCTCCGCTTTGTCGTGTTGCTGGTTAATCGCTCTTCGTGGTGTCGTTGCCAAAATCAGGTGCCTCGGCCGCGTGTGAGAGAGTGTGTGTTGTCGCTTTACCAGTGTAGCTGGTTTCAGAGCGGGTGGTGGGTTCCTCTTTCCCAATCTCTCCCAAAATTTCCGGCATACCTCCTCAAATTTAGCCTGAAAGGCCGCTGTCCATTCATCGGCTGTCTGAGGCGGTGGATTCGCGGCACTGCCGGCAGCCATCTTGGCTTGGCCTCGTGGGGTCGATTGGTCGGAATTGCTCTTATAAGTGTCCCAGAGGTGAGTGCTCACCGTAAGCTGGTGGACCGGGATGACCCCCGCCGGTCCAGAGGGGGGGAAGCGAGAGCCCGCCGCCAGATATCCGGCATGGTGTTGCAGCTGGGGAGCGACCGTCTCCCCTGCGCCTGCCATGCTTGTAGGCCTCACAGTGAGTTTAGCTCGGTTCTTCGCTTGAGAGGTATCGTTCTCCTCACTCCGATGCCCACTCTTGAGTGCTGGCCTTATAATCATGATTGTGTGCCGGTGTGGCAGTGAAATTCGGCTTTAGGTTGCTAAGTTTAGCAGGAGCTGCTGAGATAAGCGTCTTCACAGCTCTGCGGTTAGGCCCCGCCCCACAATTGTTTTTCTAATACATTTTAAGGTTTATTGCAACCTGAGGTGTTGACATTTGTCTTTTGGGAAAATGTTCATTTACTAAATTAACTAAAGGGAGTGACTAAATTTAATAAAGTGAGAATTGAATGTAAATGTCAAATTTAAGACCAGAGTAGCTGTATTGAAAACAAAGCTGACTTAGAAAATTGTTCCAATTAGGCTATTTTGACCTTACATTTAAAATTCACCTTGAATTTGAAATGTAGTGAATAATCCTGTACGTTAGTACAGGCTACCATGGCAACACTCCGCGCGGCACGCAAACCGGGAGAGTTAGACTGGGGAGCTGAAGGGAGCTGCTTGGAGGTAAGTCAAAGCTTGCTGCCGGCCCCACCACTGCTCAGTACATGCCACTGGACTACCAGGGACTGTCATATCCCCCCTCCCTGGCCAGGTAACAAGCAGGGAGGACTAAAAAAAATATTAAAACATTAAAACAAACAAAACAAAAAAAAAACACTGCAGAAAAATAAATAAAACATAAATATTAAAAATACAATTAAAATAAAAAATGCCTCCCCTCCTGCCCATTTTACACAAATTACATCCCTTCACAAACACACACTGCATTCATTATATACACAGACTACACAAACACACTACATTCACTATACACACTACACAAACACACCCTGCATTCATTATATACCCACTACACACACAGCTCCCCTGTCTAAACACACTGCATCCACTACATGTGGCATGTATATTTTGTGCATTTACCTTTAGAAATAGTTTATTTTTTCAAAATGGTAAATGGACAGAATATCAGCAAGTTATCCGCCTTAAAGTTCACAGATTATCGGTATCGGATTTAAAAAAACAATATCGGTTGATCCCTAGTCACCAGGTTTGCCATTAGTGCTGTCCTGTACATGTTTTAGAAGTATCTACTTTCATGTATTTGTGATAGGGATCAGTGGCTCTTCCTTCTAGGTATTCTCTCACATTCTGCATTATCTACAGCTGACAGCCAGTCTAACATTTCTCAAGAAGCTTTTATCAACATCCTGTCTGGATAATCCTTATTCATCCACCTCTCCTTACTTTGCTGTTGTACTCACCACATACACAGGTTTTATTTACTACACATTTGCCTTGTCAAGTTTTGAGAAAACCATTCTCAGAATTCTGAAGATATCACAGAAGTGCTGTAAGATCATTCTGAACGCATACAGGCTGGCTTGATCTGTGTTTATTTTATTTGCAGTGGATCGTTTATTTTAAAGGCTTTTCCCAAGCGCCGTTTTGGTTCAGGATATTGGTCGACAATGTTTTTTTAAGAGAGCAAAAGGTATTTAATTTCTGACAGCTCAGGAAACTAAAAGATGGACACCTAGCTCCAACAGTAAAACTTACCTTGGATGTTTAAGCCAGCTAGGAGGCTAGCATCATAGGTACTGTAGTATAAAAAAAACACACCTGGATATCTGCACATTGCTTGTGCTTTATTGCCCAACAAGTGAAAGGCTATGTCCACATATACTTAGGGACTGGAAGTACAGTTGTAATTGTACCATGCGGACTGACCGCAATATGAAAGACTGTTTTACAGCATCTGGGGATCTAAGTTTGGTCACCCCTGCTTTCCAGTTAATGAAACTTCTGTAATTATCATTTACAGGTATTAGAAAAGTCAGGGACATTGTAATGTCTAGGAGGTAGGTTGTCACCTGGCACTATGGGAAGGGGAATAAAAGGCCATTATCTCACCATATAAAAAATATTTGGGGTGGGAGACTAAGACAATGCGTGCCAGTTTTATAATCATCTTTAAACTAATCACCATTATGGAATGACAACGGTGGCTACCTGCAAAAGATCTGCAGTTACAAATTCTATTTAGAACAGTGCAGCCCTAGAAAACTTGTTTTGCTTAAAATAAATATTATTTTCCATTATCATGGAAAAGAATATCCTACCCACTAGTAAACGTGTGAGTATTTAGTAATAGCTTATTGCACTGCTGAGTATATTTTAATGGCAGAGAGGCAAACTCATGCCAAAAAAAAAAAAAGTTACCCAGTTATAACCATGGAGAGTAGATACAACGGTGGTGAGCGGTCTTTTTTGCTACCTGCAAAAGATCTGCAGTTATATATTTTGGCATGGACATCAAACAGATTTTTTATGTATGCCTTTTTGGTGAACTAGCGTGTGTCCCGCTGTGATGTTCAAATCACGAGAGTACTAGTTATTAGCACTGTGTTTAACTTTACCATTCCTTAAATAAAATCAGTATCCTGTAATAGAGCTATTGCAATCCTGGTAGCAGTTTTCACAGCTATCATCTCAGTAGCTGTTCAGTGACATCATACAATCTCCAAGACGACAAATCTGGCTGCTGTAACTTTGCATCCCCATGGCAATGCAGAATGTAATAAATACACAGCGACTCCTGACCTATTCATTTGAAAGCTTCCACCCCTCCTTTATTATATCAGCTGATTGAATTATTGAAGTGGTATTTTAATGTACATTGGTACTCCCCTTTACCATTACTATGGAAACAAAAGCTTCAATCATGTTGCTTTGGAAACTGAATAACTACTACCTTTAGGCTCAATGTGTAAGCCGTACCACACCCAGATATGCATTTAATATATGCAAGTTGTGCTTTAAAAGAGCAGATACTATTTTACATAGTCCACAAGACAAAATACTACATGTTACTTTGTCAGTATGAATACACCTTGTTTGAGCAGGGCCTTTGCTCCTGGTGACATTTGTAATACTTTACCCATTTGTGAATTGCTCACAAATATGTTATATGAATGCTAATAACACTCAATGAGTTCATACATTATTTAACTTTAGAGCAGAATAGAAATGACCGTTTTGGGATGCACTCCCCCTTTTGGGGAGTAGATAAATCACAATAGCTGTGGAAAGCAAATACCAGAACACTTCAACTCCCATCACCATTTCCCCGCTGTACCAATGGCGTGTTTACACAACTAGCTACTCTATTTCTTTTACGTATTGACTTAATGCTTAAAGTCACCAGCTATGCGTTTCCAAACCTTCCAATAACACATTTTTTAATGCATAAAATAAAAATGAATTTCACCCTGCTGCACCACTAAAAATAAGGGATATGAATGGATCAGCAAGACTGCACTAAATCAAGTCTACAATAGAGAGCGAAATGGGCCCTAATACTACAACAAAAGACAATTTATTTTGTACGACTCAAAAAGCTAGATCAGTTTAAGATAGTTTAATTAAATTTAATCCACATGGCGCCAAGTCGGAGTCTTCTATGTGGAAGGCTAGCTCCAGGATGCAATACAAATAATAGGACACTAAGCTTTTTTCCCCCTCAAATGTAGCTCATGTAAGGAATTGTTTTAATATGTCATAAACGCACTCATTTTATTGTACCAGGAAACCCCTGGTGCCGTCCATAGAAACAAGTGAAACCGTTTTTAAATGCTTTCACACTTACCCATGTCCTCAGGCTCCAATAGTCCTTCTGATCATCGGTGAGCTCTCTAAAGTGGAAGATCCCATTTCATTTTAGCAAAATCAGTTTTGGACATCATTCATTGTTTGTGAATGTCAGCACTCTCAGCCAATGAATGATGTCCAAAGCAGGACAAAACAGATTTTGCTAAAATGAAATAAGAACTTCACCTTTATCAATATCATATAAAATTGGAAGGATGGCAGCACACGAGAGATACAGTTTGAGTGTCAAAGCATTCAAAAACGGTTTAATGCCTATTAGTGGATCTGTACTAAGGTACTTCTTGCACCATAACTCAAAGCACAGGCTTAGAGTTTCCCTTTAACATTAATTCAAAGTTGTTGTATTCTCCATATAAATGGCCAATGGTTAAACAACTTAACAGTACCATTAGAATGCATGGCACCTTGTGAGAACTAAAGGATATATATTTTTTTTTTATACGGTAAATAGGCCAGTATAGTCATAATATCTTGACATGCATCATGATCATGAATGGGAGGGTTTGAAAGTGCATGCTAACTCCATTCTATGAAAGAGACAAGAGGCTGGTGCAGAGATCATATCTTCAAAGCAGCATTTATTGAATCCACATAATTCCAAACATTTAAATTGGGTGTCTAGCATTATATCAGAATCCATCGTGACAGGCAAATATACATGTGGCAGGTGCAATCAGATCAGACAAGACCTAACTAACACATTGCTTATAATCAAATAAGAGAGCCTTCTGAAATGTAGCGGACAGAAATAAATTTAAATTTTTTTTTTTTTTTAAATCAGGGAATTAAACCATTAGGTATCAGGTTTAATAACACCATAAGTTAAGAGCAAAATATAAAAAAACTCACAAAGCTCACATAAAAAAAAAAAAAAAAGTCTATTGTAAGCCCAAGAAGAAGAAAAAAACAAAACAGATGCACCCCGCCTCCTAATGGAGCCGCCATCAGTCACAGCTTGAACTGTGGAGACGCCTCCTTCATGAAACGAAGGGGGATAAATAGTGGGGAGTAATTTTACATGCACAGGAAATGCTGCACAAATAGAAATTAAAAACTTTAACAGAATAAAACGGGACCACTTCGCATCATTCCAGCCCGTACATGCCCTATCAATAAGGAGAGTGCGGGCGCCTCTCTCAAACTGCAGCTTTCTTTCCCCTCTATATGAAGAGAGTGACCAGAGAAACTGCTGATGTGCCAACGCAATCCAGCAATGCCCATGAGTACGCCGCAAAAACCCATCTTCGCGGGTAGGCAGCAGTAAGAGCAGTTGTGCCAATGATATGGATATGATAAGCACAGGGACATGTCAGGAGGAGCTGTGGGGGGTGGCAGGTGTTGATGGGGAGTGGATAAGTAACTGGGTAGCAGCAAGACGCAGGACCCTCTCTTAATTGTTGCCTTCTCCAGTCTCCTCATCCTGTTGGTCACTTGTCCACAAGGTCAGGTTGTCACGCAGCAGCTGCATAATGAGGGTGGAGTCCTTGTAGGAGTCTTCATTTAGTGTGTCCAACTCAGCAATTGCATCATCGAAGGCCTGCTTGGCAAGGAGACAGGCCTGCTCTGGAGTACCCTGTATCTCGTAGTAGAAAACTGAGAAGTTGAGGGCCAAGCCGAGGCGAATGGGATGTGTGGGCTGCATGTGCTCCTTGCTTATTTCAAAGGCTTCCTTATATGCAGCCTCTGATGCATCTGTCACAGTTTTCTTCCTCTCTCCATTACCTACCTCTGACAGGTAGCGGTAGTAGTCGCCCTTCATCTTCAAATAGAAAACTTTGCTCTCGTACTGAAAATCATTGCAGTTTTTGATGAGGTACTTGTCTAGAAGAGACAGCACTTCACTGCATACTCCTTCAAGCTCAGCCTCAATTTTCTCCCTGTATGCCTTCACTTTTTCAAGCTTCTTTTCATTGCCATCTGCTAAAGTCTTCTGCTCAATGCTGCTGATGACTCGCCAGGAAGATCGCCGAGCGCCCACTACGTTCTTGTATGCTACAGACAGCAAGTTCCGATCTTCATTAGACAGAGGTTCATTAAGTTCTGTTACCTGAGTAAAAAAGAATTTTGAAAAAGAGCTTATAAACACTTCCACACAAAATAAAGGCACTCTTCACTAAGCTTTTAACCACCTTTGCCATTAGTCTTAAAGCTGACCGCACCCATTACAAAAACATACACAAGGCCATAATCTACACTGCTTTGTCGTTCTTCAATGACTTATACACACAGCTCACATTTTGAGTCACAATCAATCTGTATGGAGAATAATATACACAATTCCCCCTTGCCACCCGTGCATTTGAAACTCCTTATAATTTTGTCATTATAAAAGCCTCAATAACGCACACCGTAACAGATTGGCAAAACTGCACATCCACCATTTAGCGACATGCTTCCCTTTTCCACCAACGTAATGTGCACATATAATAACGCATGTGGTGCCTGTATTACTACTGCACTTACGGTTTCCATTATGGTATTGGCATGTTGCAATATCAGGCAAACTGGTGCTATAAAAATAAACATAAATGGGTTGGCATATTAAACACCTTCATAAAACTAAACTCTGTTCTGCAAAAGGCCAAGTGCCTTGGGTGCAATTATCTAAAATTACACTGTGGAGAATGATATGGAACTGAGCACCATATTCAGTATGTGCTCCTAAGCCATTTTATTTTGTCAGTACGCAGAAGACAATGAACATTAGAATTCTAGAGGTTTTCACCACAATAAGGTTTATAGAACATATCACATAGGTGTGATGAATCACAATCAGGTTTTGTCTTGGTATGAGATTTCACAAGCAATTTATAAAAGATTTTTTCTACCATTTTCCATGTGGTCACATACATGCATACCTACTCCTGCCATTTAACACAAGCAAATGCCAAATCACACATACATGTACAGTAATGCAGGTCAGAGGTTTGGTTCTAATTCAGTGACCCAACTGTGGTGTTTGCCCTTAAAAAAAGATAGCCAGGGATTGAATTACAGAAAGCAGCAGGTAAGAAAACAAACCTTAGGTGTGTCTAACCCAACCCTGCATCCAGCACCCAATATTTATCATGAAAATCTGCAAGACCACACAATCCCTGTACACAATCATCCACCCTGTGTCTACACACTGTCCACAAATGCCTTGGGTATACAACACCCAACACCTAACACCATATACATGTGAACGCAGATAACTTAAAATTTCACATATACATCTATATAAAATGATTCACCACATTCCATCTTGGCCACAGAAACCCTTCACATCAATTACCTACAGAAAAAACAAAAATTACACTGAACTGCTTATGTATAGTGAAAAAAAAAAGTTTTATTTTAACCACAAAATATTTACTATATTTCCACATTCCTAATCTCATGCATTCATTTAAACTCTAGAATGTAAGGTACTTTAATCAGGGCCCTCAATACCTAATGTTCCAGTGTTAAAAATACGTTTCTGTTAGTCTTAAAATTGTACAGCGCTGCGGAATATGTCAGCGCTTTATAAATATTAATGCTATATCTGCAGCCGCCCAGCCGCCCGCTATGTATGATATTGTCTTATAGCTATCAGTATATTTGTTGCAGCCTGGTATCAGCCCCCCCCCGGCTGTGCCCACTCACCGATCTCATAGCCGCTGCCATGTCCTCGTATCTCTCCGCCTGCTCCGCCAGGCGGGCTCTCTGCAGCAGCTGCTCCCGGTCCGCCATGCCGTCGCCGGGCGGGGTCAGTCAGGTCGCGGTGCGGGCTGTGGCTGGCTCAGGCGGGCGGCTCCTCGTGCAGTCACCGGCTGGTGATGCGGATCCCGGTCAGCCTCGGCGCTTTGCTCCTCTCTGCTCTGCAGCCCGGGACACACTGTGAAGGGGCGGGGCCGGGGGCGTAGACTTCGCGAATATTTCTAGGTGACGTCATGAACTATTTATAGCAGCCACGGCGGCGCATGCGCAGTGTGAGTGCTGCAATGCACAGCAAAGGTGGGGGGTGCATGAAAAAGATAGCAGCAACTGGGGGGGGGGAGAGAGAGAGAGAGAAAACCAAGGAGGAGCTGCTAATGGATGGGGAGCAGGGTACAGGAGGGGAGATCCCCCAAGATAGTATAGGACTGAAACATTGTAACATACAAACACAAAACACTTTATATTGCATTGAGAACATGGTCCATAAAGACTCCTATTCTTGGGGCCCATTGGCAGGCTCTGAGAGGGTCTGGTGTATAGCACAGAGAGTGTGACTTTATTCATTTTAAAGGGACACTACAGTCACCAGAACCACTACAGCTTAAAGCAGCACTGTCAACATCAGGGGATTTTGCGGAATTTACAAAGACCACCAACAGTGACATGGCTGCTGGGAGTCCAGTACAGGTGGTGCAGATGAAGGCGAGTTCATACTTTCTTGAACCTGGCTCCTGATGGGTGCCGCCATCTTTCTCTGGCGGGTTCTCTTCAGCTACTTATACTGAAGCGCCAGGAGCCTACTGCATTAATCTATGGAGGATCCCACGGGATCCTACATAAATAAAGCCTATTCCCTTCAGCTTTCACTGGTGACGGCTGAGGGGGATTGACACTTCTAGACAGCGGTAAACCCATCTAATTTCTAGAAGAGTCAGGTGTAAGAAATATACAAAGACAAAGTACTCCATACTTTGTCTCAGTATATCTCAACTGGGTTGGAATTTCAATGAAATTCCAACAGTTAGTATGAGTATTTCATATTTCCCCCATTTTCAGGTGGTTGTGACAGTGTTGCTTTAATGTCATTCTGGTGCCTGTAGCCTGTCCAAGCAGGCTGAGAACGGTAAACACTGCCTTTTCAGAGAAAAGGCAGTGTTTACATTGCTGTCTAGGAACACCTCTATTGCAGTCAATTAGAAGGCCACTAGAGGAGCTTCCTACTCCAGTGGTGTACAGCTCTGGTGTTCCGTGTCCCCACACTCTGCATGGAGACACTGAATATTCCCCATAGAGATGTACTGATTGAATGCATCTCTCAGAGTAGATTCTGATTGGCACAGCATGGCATTTTGCCATGCATGCACTATAGTCTCCCAATGCTTTTCTATGGGACAGCAGTGAATTGGCTGAGATCATGAAGACTTAGTAGGAACCAGCCGTAGTAAGACCAGAGCGGCATGTGAGAAAAGATGGATAAAATCACCATTCCCATGTAATCTAAGGAAGGCCAGAGACCTAAATAGTTATAGTTTTATTAATACGTGTTCAGGTAATCCTATCTTGAAAAGCTGCACTGTTGGAAAAGTCTGTGGACCCAACCTAAAATCAAAACAGAATTTAGTCAACCTGCTCACCTCACCACGAAGAGATATTTCTTTCAGTAGCAAATTGCACAAGATGATTTAATTATAAGTAACACAGTCATTTGGACCGCTATAATCCAGGAAAAAGAGAGACTGTGCTTATTGAGCAGGGACTAATGGGAAGGAATAGATATTCTTTAGGACATCCTGAAGCCCTGAATGAAAGCTGGTTTGAACAAGGCCCTCGGCATCCTTAGCATCTTGAGTTCCTGTATGTCCAACTTGTTTTGTTGCAACTAGTAGTCTACCTATTGTAAAGTGTGCAGACTAGGTTGGCACTTTATAAATAATCATTAGGGGGATGTGCATGAAGAGGTGAAAATACAACTGTATATCAGTATTACATCCACACAAGGGCACAACATAAACTTGTAATTATAATTTTCAATATCTTTTTTATTGCTTTCCATCAGTCAACTCTTCACAGTATCAACCCAGCAGGGTATTAAGAGCTTGGTAACAAATGCATGTCTAGTCAGTGCAAATTGTCCACTTCCAGGGTCAGGTAAACGGAACACATTCAGTGATACATATAGGGTGCGGGATAGCAGCAAGTGTCCACAATAAAAGGCACATTTGTAAATCCTCAGCGAGTGTAGACCATGAACACTTAATATTAGAGCACACACCACAGATGATCCACAAAAAGAACGTTCAGCATCATGAAGTTATTGTCATACCTATGGTTCACTCATGTTCATCTTATCTACACAGCTGGCCCAGAAGGCACTCAGCCTGTTATCGCGGTTGGCACAGAAGTCAGTTAAGTCTTTGAGCAGACGATCAGCAAATCGCTCATCACCTGTACTGCTAGAGCGCCATGTTTTGGTCAGCATAGTATTGTAGGCCCAGTTATAACCAATACGGTCATCCCCAAACAAGCTTTGAGTAGATGAACTGGTGGAATTTCTCCTGCGCCTCTGTTGTCCTGAGGTATATTTACGCTTCGAATAAGGGAGCTGTAAAAAGACAGTACCTACAGGGTGGGAAAATGGAGATTAGAAGCAACATAAAACATATTGTTAAGATGGCACACATCACTGTTCTGCAATTATATTCACCTGTCACATGGATATACTGGGGTTTATTCTCTGATGAGAAGTTGAAGGCAGATGCTGAATATTTATCCTGAATGAAGCCAAACCTAAGTGTAAAAGAAAATGGATCAACATTTTCATTCAGAAAATGGAATAAATTTTTTTTTTTTTAAGTGTACATTTAGTTTGGAGCAAGACTCGGAGGGTGAAAATAATTACCTGTAGGCGATTGCTTCCTGTAACAAGTGCATTCGTTCCCAATAAGTCTCGGGTTCAAATCCTAAAACAAGAAGCTAAAATAAATCACAAACAATCCTCTGCATTTATAATAAAAGGCTGCCTTCTCATAGTCTGAGCCATCAATTTGTATTATGTAGTTAAAGTCCAACAAACTCTTGCATCTGATTCTACCTAATGGAGCGGGTATACCTTCAAAAAGATGGTCGCTGTCAGGCTTTATCATACAACTTATGTTGAGGGGGATGAAAAGTTGTGCACGTAAAGGGTCTCCATACAGATAGCTTGGGAGAGCAAAGGGACCTTCCAATACAGGCACAAGCAGAAAACCACAAGACGTGGCCTTCCTGTGCCAGCCTTGAACCTGAAAACAAAGACAGAGTAGGCTGGCAATCAGTAAGGAGAGACAAAAAGCATCAACAAACGTTTGCAAGGAGTTGGCAAGGCTTAGGAGACAGATGTTACAAGAAGTTCCCCACCATTTCAAATAATACAGCAGCAGTAGCTGCCATCCAGTGTAGTTTAACCTCGAAGGCAGAGGTCAGAGAGAAGTTGCCATGGTAGTAGCAGCTGCACCACTCCAAGCGGTCAGTACGGTTATTAAAATCCACATCTAGGGTGACTGTTCTTTGTTCTGGGACAGTGGCAGCTACCAAGAGTACAGACAAATGAGAGAGATAACAGACATATAAGACACAATACATCATGAAACCATTACCATATTTAACCAAGAAGCCATGATCAGAAGTAACACCAAAAAGGAATTTATAAACTAAGGGAAGAGTCACTATTTGTGAAATGCATGCAAAAATATGAATCAGAGATATGAAATCATTAGTAGATTGATCTAATGCAGAGACACCACATATTATCAGTCTGATGAGGAATTTAATGAGATAGTGATACAAAAGTACTCCATGCAAATCAAAAAGATCCAGAGACACTCGTGGAAGGAGTGGGATGGTATGGAGATGTAATAGAACATGTTCCAGGCTCTAGTTTAGTGTTTCGCATGCATGTTACATATATCCAGCAGGAGAAGAGCTGTTGGAGATGTATTGCAGCCAGACAGAGCCAAGAGAGGAACTAATGAGGTCACATGGACATAATGATGTTACAGATCTTAGTCTGTCAAATGTATGGTGGGTTAGGAAAAGGTGCTATGTGAAGAATCACCTTTATGAGGCATAAGCCATCACTAATTACGTTTCCCGGGGAGTGGATATAAGAACATGAGCTGCCTTTAAAGCGTTATTCAATTTAACAAGTACTGGACATACAGCAGTGAATGCACTCGCCCATCATTTGTTATGTCCATTTGCAACCCCTCTAATCCAAGGGTCAACAGGACACTGAGATAATACTACTTTTGCACTATTATTTTCATGTTTGGTCAATTTGATAACATTTACCATTTTAATTTGGAGAGTGTCTCACTAAGTAGTTTATATAGGCCAACAACCAAGACTATGAATATTGTATTTTTTAGAATGCCTTTCTTTTTAGCAATTAATGGAAACATGGTGGAAAAAAAGGCTGTGCCACATGGCAAAAAAGCAATGTGTGGTCCACGGGAGATCATTCTCTTGGAGTGGGCTCTCCATCAGCTCTCCTGCTCTCTGGCAGGGAGCTACCTAGCAGCGCAGCGGCCTGGCTCCTTCCTCCGAAGCTGCGGCTAAAGGAGCTGTGCCTACTTGCATAAGAGGCTGGGCGACTGGGCAACCATGGCAGAAGGAATGGCGGTATCTCTGAATGTAGGAGCTCCTCTTCCACTAGCGCTACTTCAAGCCACTTCCGCTGGAATGCTGTAAAATCCTCCATGGCAATGGAGTGCCAGGGGCTTGGTTGTGCCAGGCTTGTTGCTGCTAAAAACAAAGAGATGGATTACATGCATACAGAGGACAGAATGTGATGTCCTGGAAGTGGTATGTGCACTTAAAATGTTGCTAACAGTCATCATAAAGATCAAAACACACAACCAAAACAGAGGCAATAGTGTAAATCTACGTACTGACAATGATGTCTTCAGATTAAAGCGGCACTATCGCCGTTTAGGGGATTTGGCGGTAACATTGCCGTTGGGGGTCCGATGGCGAAGTTGGCAAATAAAGGTGGGTTTACTTACCTAAACCTTTCCTTCGCAGACCCCGCCATCTTGGTCCTCCTTGGCACTGGCATCACTGCTGTATTTATGTGCATGTGCAAGAGCACAGCATTGAGGTCTATGGTGGAACCCACAAGACTACGGTATCCTCCACAGACACAACAAATTCCCTGCAAGGATTGACACTTAGGCTCCGCCTTGTGTCAAGAAAAGTCAAGCGGAGGAGAAATACAGAGACAAAGTAGTGCCTACTTTGTCTCTCTTTATCACTTTACTGGGTTGGAATTTCAGCGAAATTCCAAAACAGTCATAATGAGTATTTAATAGATTCTATCTTTCTGAAAAACTAAATTTTCAGGATGGCGTGACAGTGCCGCTTTAAGTCCACTCAACAGAATACATGAGACTCACCACGTTCAGGGTCCCTTTCAGGTGGTATTCTATATAAATAAAATCCATAGATGAATGTCCTAAGGGCTTCACCTGAAGCATGTGTGATGTACTGCTCATCCAGCATTTTCTGGAAATCACAGAAGGAAGCTGAGATTAACAAACTGTTCTCTGACATAATATTGAAGGCTAAATTACGATAGGAACTCTTACCTGCATGATGTCCATGGCAATCGGCTGACTCTGCACCCAGGGAATATTGTTCATCAGCCAATGAACTACCTCTGCACTTATAAAGCAGCTGGAAGGCAGCCCCTTCTGCTCAGACAGGAAGGGAATACCTGTGCTGCACACAAATGAAACAAAATAACACAACTCATACAACTTCTGCTTGTTTGCACTTTGGCTATTCATCATATAGACATTCAATAATCTTACAAAATGGACCTCACTATCGACCATTTCATTCATTAGTTATATCACTTCAAGTGCAAACACAAAATGCCAATCAATCTATTTACAATATTATTGTGCAGCGCTATGTCTACAGCCATAGTTCTTACATTTTCTACTTAGACTTCCCTGACCCTGTCAGTCATGCATTAATCCATTCTTTACTCCAGCCAGACACTGATTGTCAACCATTAAATTGGTTTTATCCTTGTAGTTAATACCAGTGGAACCAGTGAGCTATTCTAGTACAGTGCTCTTAATCAGCATTTATCGATAGTGTTAAATCACAGAAGATCTGCCCTAAATGAATGCATTTAGCTCCCACAATACATACGTTGGGTGTTTCATCGCTTCCAGAATCTCACTCAGGCTGGCACTGGAGGTCAGAGTGCTTGGTCCACCAGATACTTGCTGCACGCTAACACAGAGAAAGGGAGTTAATGAATACAAATTAGAATCTCATCATTCCACTAACCGAACACATGCATTATTTTGTGTGTCCACACCTGGGCTCAGCTAATACTGAGTTCTGCTCTCCAGTATTCCCTAGTTGGCTCTGTGCTCTTTCAGGTAGGCCATTGTTTGGCAAAGTGTTGTTTCCATCAGCGAAAGGAGAAACTCCTTGGTCAATAGATATCTACAATAGCAGGATAAAGGGTAAGAGAGTATATAGAAGGGACAGTGTATGTGTATGCATCACAAATTGGTTTTATGTACACAAATAAGCATGTTAATAGGGTGTTGCTGAAATGACTAATTGTTTGTATGTATGTATATATACACAGACCGGTCCTATTGAGAAAGGATAGTGCTGACCACTGCAGTGTTTTTTGTTTTTTTTAAAGGGATCCTATAGTGCCAGGAAAACAAACCCATTTTCCTGGCACTATAGGCTTTGGAGGGGCTCCCTCCCTCAGTGCTGAAGGGGTTAAGACCCCTTCAGCCACTTACCTTAATCCAGCGCCTGGCTCCTTCGGCGCTGGTGACATCTCCTTCCCCACCGACGTCAGCTACCGAGTGGAGCCGAATGCGCATGCGTGGCAAGAGAGGCGCGCGCATTCAAACCCGCCCATAGGAAAGCATTACTGCGTGAGGACGTCCAGCGTCAAATATGTGCGATTTACTTAGTGTGAATCGCTAGAGTGGCCTCTAGTGGCTATCAGGGAGACAGCCACTAGAAGATGGATTAACCCTGCAGTGTAAACACAGCTGGACGGTTAAAACTAGGGGGACCTGGCACCCAGACCACTTCATTGAGCTGAAGTGGTCTGGGTGCCTATAGTAGTCCTTAAATCTTTTTTTTTCACTAAATAAGATTTGGTTCAGGTGATCACCTAATCAATTCCTCATTAAGTAGAATGACGCTTGTCTGTGTTGGAATTGAATAGATGCTAGAATAACTGCCATACATGTAGAGACACTGATTTAAGAAATAATTGGAGAGGTCTCTTAATTTTTTTCAGAAATGTATGTATGTAATTGTACTAGGATACACTACAAGGACATGGGAATGTTATTCGGGCTAGGTGAGAGTTGGTCAATGATAGCAATAAAAGGGAATATAATCAGGACTGAACAAGTCAATGCCAGAAGGCCAAATAGGAGATGTAGAAAACAGCTACAAGTACCTTGGGATACCACAAACACACAGTAACCACAGGAAGAGGAAAGGAGGACAGCAATATCCAAGTACCTCCACAGAGTCAGTCAGGCCCTAAAGTCTCAGCTCAATGAATGAGATTCAGTGCATCAATACATATGCCTTTAAATTATCATGTACTCAGCGGGATTAATAACTTGGCCAAGAGTAGAGCTGGACACCCTGGATATCAAGACCTGGAAACTAATCACTATGCATAGAGGATTCCACATGAAATCCAGCACTTTACACCAGCCATAAGGAAGGAAGTTGGGGCTTGATGAGTGTCAAGGCCACAGTCCCGGATGAAACACACAACACCCGCAAGTACATCATGAAGATGGCTCCTATAGATGAACTGCTAAGGGAATATGTCTAAGACAATAACAGAGAGAGGATGCAGAAAAGGAGGAGCTTCCATGGCAAGAAATTATTATATAAATATATATTTTTTTAGATTTTGTAGAGCTAAAGTCCCTGAGTTAAAACATACAGATGGGGTGAAGAAAGAGCAGAAAGAAACTTTAAGAGCAAGACAGATAAAACAGGTGGACCTTTACAAACAAATAGGCAAGCTGTAAAAAAGACAACTATAACAGTAAATCCCATCAGCAATCGCCACAGAAAAAGCTTTTCCATCAGGATAAAAAAAATACATACATATCACACCACCCATAGCCATTTTGCTTTTTTTTTTTTGTACTCAAGATTTAGCCTTATGCCTTTTAAGGATCCCCTCCACTCCCAAAATGCACTTCAGCTTGCTTAAGTGCTTTATGGATGATGAGTATCCTATATTAACCCCAGTTTATAAAAGTATTTTACTATTAAATTATAGAACGCTCATTCCGTTAGCTCAGGGAACCTAACACAAGGACTGTTCCATAATTTAAATATAAAAGTGTTGATTTCTCATTGAGCGAGCCTGCCTCCTTTCCCATAGACTGCAGGCCAGCGTCTTTATCGCCTCCAGAGACCTCAGACCAGATGCAGGTCCATGTACAAGCTGACCTGGCGCACAGATTCAGAGGCTGCTCAATGAGAATACTCTGATAGGATATTTACAGTTGAAGAGATTGAAAGTATATTTGTGTTGGGTTTATCTCTCCCTGCTGTGTTAGTCCCTGCATGGAGATTGGTGAGCTTACGGTTTGCACAATGATTATGCTGAACTGTTTCTGTCATTATTGGACTGGTCTGAAACGGAGATGGGAGGGTAAGGTGTTAAACTCCCCTAGCTGAGAGGCGTGTCCAATAATGCAATCTGACCAAGTTTATAGTAAGTTTATAAATATTTATTTCATACTTTTCAAAGTCTTTTTTGCTTTATTTTGGTTTGTATATTTGTTTAAAAGTGCTTGCTTGGGGGAACAGCCTGACCTCCAAGATGGCTGGATGTGCTTTTTAATGGCTCCTGGCGACTTGAGACAAAAATCAAGAGATTCTGTTTGAAATCCTGTTACCTCTGATCCTGAGCTGCAGACAGCTTGATAATACTGCCAAGCACAAACTACTAAGCTCGGATCGGGTGTCCTGCCCGAAATGAAGTAGACATAACAGAAATTTAAAAATCTAAAATAGACACAAAAAAAGGTTTGCCATAGAAGTTTTTCTTTTGAAGTAGTAAATAAACTGTATTTTTTTTCCAAATCTATTATTTCCTGACAATGATTTTATTCTCTTCACAAGTTATATATATATATATATACATATACATATATATATATATATATATAATTATCCTCCCCTCATTCAAGATTTGACACAATGCAACTCCTAAAAACACTGACCTGTGGATTAAGGGAGGGCACTGTGCGAGGGCTACGAACAGACTCCACAAAGAAGGCAGAATCCTGAGAGAAAGTGACAGTGCAGAAAGGAGTATGAAGAGAGGAAAAGTCAGACGCTCACATCACACGTATAAACAATGCTACCTGCAAAAATTCCTTACCTTACGAGGGCTATCGACATAGGTGGGAGTAACAACAGAGTCCACTGCCTGAGAGCACACCTTGCCCGAATGAGCCAGAGTTGCTTGTTCTCCTAGACCCCTGGAAATAAATTAATGGCTCACTCAGTTACCAAATCTGCATTGTATACTTCCAGCAGAAAGGTGACATGTATTATAAAGCTAAGAACCTCTTACTTCTGATTAGCTTCCATCTCTAGCAGAGCTGAAAGGGCAGAGGTTCCTTTCTTTCCAATAGGAGGTGCAGGTAGTTCCGTTGGATGAGGGGGGGGGAGCTGTAACCCCTTCATACCAGCTCCTTTCTATGAACGAAACACAACATTTCAATATTAGAAAGTCATTAATATGAGAAGTTTATTACTAGTGTTGTGGGCACAGAAATGCCAGTACCCTGATCATACGGTCAGATCGGTGACGCCGGCGGATACGATTTAACCCCTCCACAAATCGAAGGAAGCCATCCAGAAGCTGCCCCTCTTCTTGTTCAGACCGTGGACAAACTCCATAAAGATCACATCTTTGCTCTCCTTCAGTAATTCGCTTAGTGGGCCCTACACAGGATGGCAGTAGAAGGAAACGTGTGCGCCAGAACTTCAGGGATTCAATCAGACTGCAGATTCAGAGGTTAAAAGGAGTAAATGTATGTGTTTTCTTTTTTTTTCTAAAGTGTATGACTTCTGTGTTTTCTATTATGTAGAGCTAAAACGGATGACGTACAAATAAATTCCCATACCTAAAATCTTCTGAGCCAGCAGAACAAATGTATTGATCTAGATAGTTCCACTTGTAATCTTCCAGCCGTTCATGGGAAAATTCCACCCAGCTGCACACAAAGTCACAGGAAGAGTGTGACGGGCACAAGTTGTAATTGTAACTTATCTGGGCAGATTCATACGGGTACCTTGTAAGAAGAAGCAAAACAAATATCATATGCATATATAATATTAGTTGTATCTTCTAACTGTGAAAAACACAATGACACTCCGGGAAGACAATCAGTGTACACTAATTCTCCGGTAGTAATTCACAGTGGTCCTTTGCAGACAGCCACTGTTCTAGTTTTTCTAGGCAAGCACCACAGTTCACATGCAGACATTATTTTCTCCTTCCAGTGAACCCCAACCCATGAAGACCTCTCTACTACTCATAAGTATTATCCCCTACAATGTTTTTATATTTCTTAATAGTCATTTTATGGTTTCTTTACTTTGGCAGGTATCTAGTGACTGTAATTATCTTGTCCTTGCAGGTTACTTTGTGGAAAGTTCGTCCCATGCTCAGCCAATACTGGTTTTCCTCTTCATGGCGATTTCGGTACACCAAGCCTGATAAGGACAGAGCTCAAATTGACATATGCCCAATAATACCAGCAGATCCTCTAAATAAAAAAAAACATTTCTGGATTGAGTAAACCATACCTCTCCTGTAGAGGGGGCTGCTGCTTAAGGGAGGTTGTGAAGTGGAGCTTGTCTTTGTATGTTTTGACTGAACAATAACTTGATATCCCTGCATGAGACGCTGGCAAATAAACTCTTCAAAAACCTGCTGAGCTGTCATTGGGTGAAGTGTTCCCTCATCATCACGCCTAGGCAGAAAAATCCAAAATCGCATTTTACTTAAAATAAAGACAACATCCATTGTATGAGTACTAAAGTCTGAAATAGTCTCAAGGCTCCATTTGACATGATCTTGTGATATTTTATCCAAAACACTGTATTAGTATATATGACTTACAAAAACTAGAAGAGCTTACAGAGTTATAACAGTCCACAAATGCCTTAGGGATGATAAATAAGACTTTACAAGGTTGGGACTTTGCACTCCAGGCACAATAATTCCTCACTCCTTCCCCTTAATTCTCTCACCTGTCTAAGTCAGCCTCTGGCAGCAGATCGTAGCAGCCCTCGGTGTAATCATTCTGCAGGCTCTGCCTATCCGGGAAGTAGTCTGTTGTGAGTGGTAGGCAGGCTGGGGTGGTGAGAGACTTCCAGTCCACCCCAACCGTGCAGCAGAAGCCAGGCACTACGGGGGGAGCAGACAGCATCAAACCTGCCCAGAGGCCACGCGGAGTAGGGGATTGTAGGTTGCACGTGAATGGGTCCACAACAAGGTGAAAAAAAGTGTTTTTGGTGTTGGGCAGAAAGTGTGTGAAAGTATATGATGATGATGATGACAAAATGGGAATAAAGAGTGTAAGGAATAAAGGAAAAGAATAACAGGTGGGAATGAATGAGTAAATAGAATGGAAAAATGATAGTGAGAGGACAGAAAAATTAGGAACAAGAGAGTAATGGTACAAGAAAAAAAATTGGATTATGTCATTACGTTATGTAGCATAGACAAGTCACAAAGAAAATAATGAAAGGGTAAAAAAGCGGAGTCATAGGACAGTTGGAAAGTGTCGATTAGTGGAGATAACAGTTTTGAAATAAAGTTTTGAATAACAGAGAAAGATTATTGGGTGTCAGGTGCATGAAAGAAAATGATATATGAAGTTGTGAGGGAAAAATATTGAGTGAAAAAGAGGAAAAAAAAGAGAAAGAGAGAGAGAGAAGGTTAATTGCCATGCTTAAGACACATTGTGACCCATCATGCATTGGGAAATTACACTGGTTGTGATCAACATGATCAATTAAATGTCAGCTGACACATGCGTTCATCAAACTGGATGCTTATTAAATTGCTATTTGAAACATTTTCGCAGTAAGGAGAATAGATTTAATAGAAAAGTAGATTAATTTGAAATACACAGGCAAAGAAATGTAGTGTGAGGAACAGGGAGGCTAGAGAACCGATGCTACAGGAGGTCTGAGGGTAAAAATAACTGTTATGATGAGAGATAAATACTGTTAATATAAAGTTTTACATACTCATACTGCAACATATTTCAAACCCAACAACAATAATGTTATTACTTAAATTTTATAGTGCAGTCATAGAATTAGAACTATATTGTTCCCAACCCTCCACCTCTTGAATTGTACAGTGGAAGTGACCTCCACCAGAAACCCCAATATATTAACTGGAAAAGCAAATGCACCCACATTCCAAGAACCACACATCTAGGAAAATATCTAGATTTTTGTGGATTTCTGTAGAACACAAATTGGATATTGTAAGCAGGAATGGTTCCAGATGTGAAGTAATTAAAGGGACACTATAGTCACCTGAACAAGAACTATAGCTCCCTGCAGCCTTTCTCATGTAAACACTGTATTTTCTGAGAAAATACAGTGTTTGCATTGAAAGCTAGGAACACCTCCAGTTGCAGTCACTCAGAGTGAACCAGAGGGACGTTTGAGTTGATGGAGGCATAATATGCCTCCTTCCACTCAGATCTGCTGTGCACGAGCATCCTGTGATTCAGTATCTCCTCCCTCTGCATGCAGACACTGAACTTTCCTCATAGAGATTCATTGATTCAATTCATCTCTATGAGGAGATGCTGATTGGCCAGGGCTGTGTTTGAATCATGCTGGCTCTGCCTCTGATCTGCTTCCTTGTCAGTCTCAGCCAATCCTATGGGGAAGCACTGTGATTGGATCAGGCTACCACTTCTGATGATGTCAACAGCCTTTTTTTTTTTAGGCAAACAGCATGCATTTTGATCTCTGAGGGTAGTCTCTAACATTTTGGCTATTATTTTAATACTAAGAATAAGGATCATGTAACACATATTTCCTAGCAGAACTAGTAGAGCTCCTTTAAATTATGTACTAACAGCACTCAATGAAAATTATACTCTATAGCAAGCTGTCAGCCCTCCCCAACAGTATATTTGTTTAAGGTCCTAACACGGAGATAGAGCTCACTAGAACATACTGAGAAACTAACTAAACGAATAAACCTCCCAAAAAGAAACTGACGCTGAGGGTCCTACCCAGGAAGCACTACTGGTGGCCGTTTGAGTGAGTGCCACTAGAGGGGTTTCTTTTCTATGAAAAGGCAGTGTTTACATTAAAATGCCTGCAGGGATATACCATACACACGAGAACAACTACATTAAGCTGTAGTTGTCCTGGTAACTATAGTGTCCCTTTAACTTGACTAAAAATCTTTACAGAAATCAGACAGAAAAATACATTCAATAGGGGGGAATGGGAAAATGTACGCTCCTGATATGCTTAAAGGTTGCCTGCAATATCCTAAATTACTTTAGATCTTTTTAAAGAGCATGGGATGTCATCTATACATAGCACTAGCAGTTTTCAATCAATTCAGTCAATCAATTCTTTAGCGCAGACTCTATGTCAAGGAAATGATTGATAAATTACAGCAGACGAGACCACCCATAGGCAGTCCTTCTGGACTCCATGCATAGCAACCACCTCACTAGCCGGCGTTGATAGAACTGGCATGCTGGGGGGGCAAGGCCAATGAAGCCAGCATATCAGCGTCATGGAGGAGGTTTGCTCTGCTTGGGAAGTGTCAGTGAAGAGAGCCAGAGGAGCGAGGATGAACCAGAGGGAGGTGTTACTTTTTTTAACGCCTACCTATGTAATGAGATCGCGTTGGGGGAGGCAGAGGTGAGTGGTGGCAAATTCTCTTTAAAGGACAACTGTCATCTCAAAGTTATTTTTAATAAAATATTCCTTTCATCAAGTTTTGAAGGGAAATAGATTTTTTTTTTAATGAATACATGTAAAAAAAATATCACAACAGTTAATCTCTATGGTCTTCACTGCTTCTATGCAGGGAGTGAAGCAGGGAGAACCATAGAGACTAACTGTCATTTATCAAACGCTGCCTGATCCAAGGTGCATCTATATGGCTAAAGGGTCCTGTTTTTCTCATTTCTTTACATATACTTCATTTAAAAAATATATATTTTCTTGATGAATTTGATGAAAAGATTACATTAAAATAGTTTTGAGTGCTTTGAAGTCCTTTCGGACAATGGGGATGGGTAGGGTCTGGAATAGGTACAGGAATCTTGGGAGTAAGTTCATTTTAATGGAGGCTATCCTCCCCATCCATGAGATGGGCATGGTTGTCCAGGTCTGGAGGTCTGTATAGGCCTGGCGAATAAGGGGGGGGTAGTTCAATTCGTACGTGGAGTCGGGGTTGGCCGGCAGAGATATGCCGAGATATGGGATGTCAGTGTCGTTGTACTTGAATGGGTGTGAGCGTCGTAAGTCGTTCAGGTCACGTTCCGGTATCCCAATTGGGAGTGATTCGGTTTTGTCTAAGTTTAATTTGTACCCTGAGACTGCCGCGTATTCGTCCAATAGAGCCAGTAGGGGAGGTATGGATTGGCGTGGGTTTGTAAGTGTGAGGAGAATATCATTTGGGCTAACAGAAAACCCAGGATACGGAGATCCACAATGTACAAAACCACGAAAACAGGGGGTCTGGGGCTCCCCAACTTTCTACACTATTTCCAGGCGGCCCAATTGACACAAATACAACACCTACATGCCCCCCCAGGATTAAAGATATGGGTAGATCTCGAACATGACCTACTGGGAAGGGACCATCCCTCACTACTCCTCTGGGTCCCCAAACAATCCAGACCCTCCACTCCACAAACGTCCCCAGCCCTTAACACCTCTTTTCAGATTTGGGATAAGACCATACAGAAAACCAAACTAGTTAACTCCCCCTCACCCCTAACCCCAATCCTACGGAACAAACAATTCCCCCCCGGGATGAACCCCAGAGACTTCGCGCACTTCGAAGACAATGAGCTCTTCCGTTTCTACCACTTCTTCCAATCCAATCACCTGCTCCAATTCTCAGACCTACCAGGGCACACACCACTGACCACCTTTGACCACTTCCGCTACCTTCAGATCCGCAGCTTCCTCCAACACCCCCTCCACTCCTCTACAGCCATCACCACCATGACCCAATTCGAACACGACTGCATACACTCTCCGATACGCAAAGGCCAAATCTCCTGCATTTACCTCCAACTGAACTCCGCCTCCCCGATGGAAGCACTCGCATACACCAAAACGTGGGAAAGGGATATCGGCCCCCCCACAGACCCGTCAGATTGGCCGGCAATATGGGAGGCAACTGCTTCCCTCACCATATGCGTTAACCACAGAGAACAGGCCTATAAAACGCTCCTACGATGGTACCTGACGCCCCTGCGGTTGAAGCAAATGAAATGCTCGACCACAGACGACTGCTGGAAAGGCTGCGGGTCCCAGGGCACCTACATTCACGCCTGGTGGCACTGCCCACACATAACACAACTATGGACAAAGGTAGCGGACCTAACATCAGCTCTCCTCCACATGAAGATCCCACTAGACCCATGGATCTGGCTACTATCCAAACCCCATACCCCCCTGTTTAGGGCACAAAATAAATTACTAGCCAAAATCGCCTTGGCCACGCGACGCACAATCGCAGAACAATGGGGCAACAAACACATCCCCACCCTGGACACGACCATCAAAAAAATAGAGGAAGCAAGGGAGATGGACAATCTCTCGGCCCTACTTCACGAAACGACCCATCACCACAACAAAATATGGGACCCCTGGGTCATATATAGATTGACCCACCCCTAATTCCCCCTAAATCCGGAAGACAGTCGTCCCACTCCCCTTCTCCAGGTCCCCTCTCAGACACCACCTCACGAACACTCCCTAACCCCCAAACCCCCCGCCAGACCACTGACAACTGCACAATCGATATTATCCCCTCTCCGACCCAACACCTCAATCCCCACCTCAAACAACAGGAAACTCAATTGGGAACAACGGCACTCCAGCCCCTTCACTACACCAACCCCTCACTACCTTACACCCACGGAGGACCAACATCCTCACGCCCATTCCTCCCCAATCCCCACCACAGAACTCTTACCCCCCCGGGCAGGCTCCCACCCTAGGGCGCCCACCACAGACTACGGACTCTGACAGCTCAAAGCCCATCCACTGCGACCAACCCCACACCGGGCCACAAGGAACAGGCTGCATTGAGACCGCAGAGAGCCACGAACGGCAACACAACCCCCTCTCCTTCTCCCACTCACCCACCTCTGCAACCCCCCAGAAGTACAAGGCACCAACCCATACACAAGGCCACCGACTCACAACCCACCCCCTCGACGCCAATGCACGATACGTTCACAAATGTCAACCGACACACCAACAACAACGGTATCCCACCCTCTACCCCTATTCCTGTAAAATCGAATTGTAACTCACCTAATTAGAAGGATTGCACTTGTACCCCCTCCCCTTTTCTTCATTCTGTACCCCATGTTTACAGGTGAAACCTTGAAAATAAAGAATTCTTTAAAATAGTTTTGAGGTGACATTTGTCCTTTAATTACATATATCATTGGTATAATGCTCTTAAGTGTTGCCAGTAGACAGTGGTGTATCCTGGTTTTGTGCTGCCCTAGGCATCGACATCTTCCGGCTCCCAGCCTCACTCTGCAGCGCGCGAGGGAGCTGAGCAGACCGCTCAGGGGAAGAGCTCCCTCGCCAGCCGCCCGCCCAGCGCCGCCCGCCAGCCCAGCCCCCGGCATGTCAGTTAGTCGCGAGGCTAACAAGGCATTTGCCTGGGCATTTGGGGGGCGTCGTTTTTTGCCGCCCCCTGAAAAATGACGCCCAAGGCAAATGCCTTGTTTGCCTCGCGGCTAAAACGCCCCTGCCAGTAGAGTGTGCTGTTAGTTAGCAGGCTGTGACCTGACCATGACAAGCCAAGATTACTCTTTGTTAAAGCGGCACTGTCATGGCCGCATCTGTTTTTTTCTAACCCCCCCTCCTGACTCCACTACATCTAATTGCACCCCTAGTCACCCCCATATGACCTATTTTTTCATCTTTATTTTAAGCCAGAACCTAGGTCCTGTGCGCCGCCATCTTGGACCTATTGTCCCGTCCCACTCCCCTCCCCCCCCCCGGCCCCTACCCACGAGCGGTAGGTGGGGGCCCTAAATAAAAATGGAGGGGGGAACCTATTGCCCTACCCCCCGGCCCCCACCCATAAGCAGTGGGGGCCCTAAATGAAAATGGGGGGAACACCTATTGTCCTCCCCTCCATCCCCCACTCTAGAGTGATGGGTGGGGGCCCTAAATGACAATGGGGGACACCTATTGTCCTCCCCTAGGCCCCCATCCATGAGCAGGGGTGAGACACCCATGGGGGAACACCCATTGCCTCCCCCGGCCCCATGAGCGGTGGGTGGGGGCCCTAAATGACAATGGGGGGTGGCGGGGAACTATGGTCTGCCCTACAGCCTCCACCCATTAGCGATGGGTGGGGGCCCTAAATGTCAATGGGGGTACCTATTGCCGATTGTCCTCCCCCCGGTCCCCACCCATGAGCGGCAGGTGGGGGCCCTAAATGAAAATGGGGTGGGGGGGATCTATTGTTTTTGTTTTATTTTAGAAGTTCGACGGATATTATGTTTTTTTTCTTTGGGCCTTTTTTGGGGCTGAAAAAAGAAGGTTTTAGAAAAAAGTAGACATCAAATGGTAAGTATTTTTTTATTTACAGGTATTTAGTTTTATTGTCTCCCCCTCACTATCTTAGGGTGAAGAGGGAAGGTAGGGCTTTATTTAATTTTATTTGGGTAGGGGTGGGGGGTGACTAGGGTCTTGGGGACCCCTAGTCACCTGGGTGGGGTTATTTTTATATTTTTACACTTACGTTGTTTTATGTTTTAAAGAAAACTAGAGCGGACAGGAAGAAATGAAGAACAGATCCCGAGAGAGGAAGAGAAGAGGAAGCGATTAGGGAAAGTTAAGTTCAGCATGACAGTGCAGCTTTAAATAAAGAACATACCAACAAACTTGTGGTGGGGAAAGAAATGTGGATGAAAACCCTTTCCATCTGAAGTAAGTGGATAGTTAATACATTGCTAAACACAAATACACACACCAGTCAAGCCATAAGACTTGTTTTTTCTACAGAAATCTCACTTTAACAGTGCTCTCGCTACTGCAAGGGATTCTGGGTAGGTGTATGCAAATGAGCTAAATAAAGAACCAAATTTTTGCCTCATAATTTAACTTTATAAGGAAGTTAGTTTGTAATTCGAGCCAAATCCCTTTGCAGAGAATGCAGTTTAAATGAGTAGGAGAAAACAACTGAAAAGGCCCCTCTCTGCATTTATTACGTATGCCATGCAACCCTATATTTGCAATGGTTCAGTAACACATGCACTTACAAAATAACATAATGCAGCAAGAGTATAGACTCCTTTACAGGATAAGGAGACTAACTACTGGGCAAGACACTAAGCTGGCATTAAGGTCTAAATAACCATAAAGGTGGCTGTCACACAAACTCAACATTCAGCACTCTAATGCATATTTCTGGAGATCACTCTTGAAGAGCTTGGAAAAAGCACATATCTGTGTGACTGCCTACTAAAAGTTAGAAGGTAACTTTCTGTTACAAGGTAGATTGTGAGCTCATTTGGGCAGAGCCCTCTTGCCTACTGTTCCTGTATGCCAAACATATTTTGTTTACATATTGTACACCACTGCGGAACATGTTGGTGCTATATAAATAATTGTGTTCTGCAGTAATTCCACTGCGCTCAAAGAGCAACTAGGTTAGCAAATTTCAATATTTATCGATCACACTAGTGACCATCGGATCACAATTTACTTGACAGCACACTCTACTGGTAACAATTAAGAGCTACATTGTACCATTGATACACTAAATAGTCTCTGTATTAATGTATTAGGAAGCTACATAAGCTCTATTTCCCTTAGCCGCTGAATGTGACTATTCCTCTTAACTGTGTAAAAAAATGTTTTAGACTGGTCGACAGATCTAATGTATATCCTTTTCATTTGTTTCAGTTAATTTTGTTATTTACTATTTTTAGTTTTATGATGGCACTTTGTAGCTTTTAGCAAATATTATTTAATTAAGGTTAAAATGCTGTTTACGTTTAGTTTTGTCCTTCCATTTCCTGTGGTGGTGTTGGTGGGGTGTTCATTTAGTCCTCCATGTTTAAGATCAACTGAGAGAAGAACAGGTGTAGGTGTGGTTGGCACAGATGTGACCTTCTTTATAAGAAAATCACAGACTTTTCAACCTGTGCTTCAGGACTTTAGGGTCCTGGAGACAAATGTAAAACCAATGTAGTACATAACAAGGATGCTACATCCCACTCACTGGGTTCTGGGCAGCATGGTAGGTTGTCATCTGAAGATCCTTTCTCTGCATGGTAAGATGCTGTGACAAAAAGAGGGAACGATTAGGAAGAAAATCCAATAAACAACCTACTCCAACATTTTCTGATTTTCAAAACAATTATCTTTTTTCCTTGTCCCTTTCACCCATATCGTCACCTGCACTGTGGCCTTTCTGATTGTTGAAAGATGAGCTGATAGAAAATTCTTCTGCGCTTCCAGAAGAGCCACTGTCACCAGGTGTGCGAGGACCATGTCTGCAGGAAATACATAGACATCATCATATGATTCAACATATGATATTTGGACATAAAGACATACTGTTTCTAAAGACTTTGTATGATAGTCACCATGTAACTGCCCTGGTGAGTGGAACTCATTAATACACTTGAGCATGGCCTTAAGATACATCTTTGTAAATAGTCATGTCCCCATCGTTTACTATCCCTATGCATTTAGTACTCATTCTCCCCTGCCCCTGTTTTTATGCTCTTCTACAATACTTTTTTTTTTTATCCCAATTTACAATAACGTACACTGAATACTGTTACTCACATGTTTACTATGTAAACTATAGAATTTTACTGATTGTACATTTATTTTACTCATTATCTTTGCATGCTCTAATATGTGATTTCCATAAAAACAAAAAAAACTGTTACCATTCCAGACTGTAAACTCACTTAAAGAACTTAAGGGCTACTTAAAAGGTTACTCTAACAAAAACACGGTGTCTTAATGAAATGGCGGTTTTTGGTTGGAGTAACCCTTCCTGACCTGTCCCAACACCCCCCCCCCAAAGCTAAAACTTACCATGGTTTAAAGGGCCAAGGCAAAGTTCTGCATCAGCCCAATCTTTTTCTGCTCCTGACCCAAAAAACAATACAGTATGTATTTTGAAAACATTTTATAACGAGAATAAAAGGCTTTCAAAGCAGGGGATGACATAGAAACAAAATAATGGTATAGAGCATGTGTCCTCAAACTCCGGTCCCCCAGATGTTGCTAAACTACAACTCCCATGATTCTCTGGCTATCTATGTAATTCAAAGAATCATGGGAGTTGTAGTTCAGCAACATCTGGGGGGCCAGAGTTTGAGGACCCATGGTATAGAGGCTCAGTGAATATCCAGGAAAGTGACAAGCTCACGATCAGGTGAAAAAAAAAAAGTCTACATTGGCATGTGAACCATGTCAAAGAGATATCCGTATCATGGCATAATTGTTTCTACAGTGTCAAAAAAAAGTTGGAGAAGATAAGGCGAATTCCATTAGATAATGTTTCATGATATGCAAGGCAATAAAGCAGGCAAAGTGCTAGCAAATCGTCTAAAAGCACGGTACATACAAACAAAACTCCCATACATGACCTCGGCCACGGGCACAAAATTATTTAACCCGCAGGACATAGTGGGCGAATTAGCGAACTTTTATAGAAGCCTATATAACCTTACACAAGATACATCATTACACCAACCACTAGAACCTGAAATAGACACCTTTCTGGGTGAGGCAAATCTGCCATGCATGTCTGTACATCAAAGGCAGACATTGTTAGCTAAGTTCACGGAAGATGAAGTGCGCCAAGCTATATTAAAGTTACCCAAACACAAAGCCCCGGGGCCAGATGGGTTTCCCAACCGCTTTTACCACGTATTCGAAGCACAACTCACACCATACCTTACAGACCTTTTCAATTTCTTTAGGGACTCAGGCTCCATGCCAGAAGAGATGTTGCTAGCCCATATTGTTACACTCCCTAAGCCGGGTAAACCCCCTACGGAATGCGCCAACCTAAGGCCTATTTCGCTGCTGAATGCTGACACAAAATTGTATGCCAAACTACTAGCCTCACGCATCCAACCCATTCTACAGGATTTGGTCTCTCTGGAACAGGCAGGCTTCGTCCCGAACAGACAACCTGGGGACAATACGCGCCATTTTTTAAACTTAACTACCTGGGCCCAAAATACTAACCAGAAGGGCTTACTATTAGCCCTAGACGCGGAAAAAGCGTTTGATCGCTTGAATTGGACATACATGAGATCTGTACTGACTTACATGGGCTTCCCTCTAGAATTCCTGAAAGGCATAATGGTCTTATACTCCAAGCCGTCAGCCAAAATATTCAACTCCGGATTCCTATCACAACCTTTTCATATCACAAATGGTACTAGACAAGGGTGTCCGCTCTCTCCTCTAATCTTTATTCTCTGTATGGAACCCCTAATCAGACATATTAAATCCGACCACAATATTACGGGCCTATCAACGCCTATAGGAGAGCAAAAAATAGCCCTTTTCGCAGATGATGTTCTCCTTTTTATAACACACCCTGAGACATCACTACCATCCTTGCTAACACTACTAGGAAGATACGGTAAGATGTCTTACTACAAGAATAACGCCAAAAAAACACAAGCGTTGGCATTGGGGTTGCCCCATACCCTCCTCTCACACCTTAAAACACTGTACCCGTTTGACTGGAGGAAATCCTCCATCTCATATCTGGGCATAAAACTGCCAATTTCACACACATTGACAATAAAGGAAAACCATACGCCACTCTTACATAAACTAGATCAACAGCTCCGATCCTGGGAGGACAAGGAAATCTCCTGGCTTGGGCGCATTCATACCATTAAAATGATGATTTTACCACACATTCTATATCTCTTTCGCACCCTGCCTATTACAATCCCGAACCCGATATTGAGGAACTTTCAGGCCAAGATCAATGCACACATTTGGAAACGTAAGCCCCCACGAATAACACAAAACTCTCTTTGGCGTTCATTCACAAAAGGCGGACTGGGCGTACCCAACATTAAATTATACCACAAAGCCTCATTAATGGCACAGGGTCTCACGATCCTTGAGAGGAAGTCCCCTCCGGTGTGGCTGGCGTTGGAAAACGCTTGTCTGCCCACTGGCACGATTCCAATGTTCCTCTGGGCTAGCTCAATACCATTACAATCAAAAAATCTGCTCCCAACCACGGGGATAATGCTCCGGACTTGGAGACAAACTATTCCTCTATTCCTCAAGGAGAATGACCTACTCCTTGAGGCCCCACTTCAAGCCTTGGCCACCCGCACGACGAACCTACAGCTAGAAAACTGGCTTAGCCGGGGGATCTCAGGGGTACGTTCCTTGCTAACCCAAGAGGGCGTCAAACCATTCCCCGAAATTGTTAGGGAATTTAATATCCCAGCCAGGGAACTATTCACCTATTTGAGGCTAAAGAATATTATTCAGGAAAGCCGGATTACCATGAAAGAATATAACCTCATACCACCATTTGTCCATAAGTGTAAGGGGAAACTTCCCAAGGTTAAAGCACTATCCCTCTGCTACAATACACTTCTTACCCAATATACGGCAACAAAACCTTCCTACATGACAAACTGGGAACTGGACCTGGGAATACAATTCCCAGTAGCCACGTGGCATCAGGCTCAGAAGTTAACAAAGCAGGCCTCACACAGCCTCAACCAGTGGGAAACCTACTGTAAACTAACTATGCGTTGGTACCTGGTCCCCAAAAAATTGGCACACATATACCCTGATGCGAACAAACTCTGCTGGAGATGCCAAAATCAAGAGGGATCCCTATATCATATATTTTGGACATGTACACAGATCACATCATTATGGAAGGCTATTCACACACTTTTTTGTACGGATTTAGGGATCAAGGTCCCACTGACACCAGAAAGCTTTTTATTACACATTTTCCCAGACAAGCTTCACGAAGAGGAAAGCTATTTAACGATCCATTGCCTAATGGCAACTAAAACTGCGATTGCCCAAAAGTGGAAATCCACACAGGTGCCCACGCTATCAGAAATTCTGGGCAGATTAGACTCGATATATAATTACGAACACATGGCAAGCCGTATCACTGAGAGGCAGAGTAGACATGAAACAAGGTGGCGTAGATGGGTGGACTATAGATATGGAAAGACATGAAAGACGATGCGGCATTTTTGACACTCTACCAAGCTCCTCAGTAAAAAAGGGCTTCCCAAGCTAACACCGTGTAACAGCTTCTAACTGACCATTTTCCCTTTTGCACTTCTCTTCAACACCAACACAATATAATAAATACTCTATGCCATAGCACAACCTCGCTAATCCCCCACCATTCTCCCCTCCCGCCCCGGAGGTCCAAAAGTTAGGGCGGACAGATGCAAATTAGTGCCTTAGAATGTATCAGGCTAACTTGAATAAAACTGCCATTGTATATATGTATATATGTATTATAGTCAGAAGCTGGTAAATTGTGTCTAATGACGAATATACAACTCTATGGATAGATGTTATTACTAATACTTTTTGTATGGCTATGATACAATGTTTATGCATGTCGCCCTCCCCCCCCCCTTTTTTCTCTCCGTGTACCCCATCCCACGTTACCCATCTTTTGCATAATATGCATATTAAGTGAAAACCGAAAGAAAAAAAAAAAAAAAGATAATGTTTCATGATGTAAATACTTAAGATATGAAAGGGATTAACAAAAGCTGGAGCTAAACCACATGTCTAGTTGAGGAAGAACAGGGGAGAATGTGAGAAGGACGGGAAAAGGAAGAAGAGGAGATGGGTTGAAAGGAAGGGCAACAAAGAGGAAGAAACCTCATCTTCTGTGGCTCAACGCTCATCACACCAGGTATTCCTCAATAAGGTATGTGAGCCACGGGATCCAGGTAAAGAAATGCTTCTTTTGTTTCTGATCGACTAAATTATTTATTTGCTCATTCAATTTACTCAACTTTTGCCATTTATAGAACATCAGAGGGCCAAGATCAAGATTTTAGCAGTGCTCAACAGCTGATTAACGAGATAAATTTCTTTTTTTATAACAAGAAATTGGCTATTTGATTAAATTAAGTAAGTACTCTGCTGGGCTGGAGAGGGTTCTCAAGTAGATGGCACAAAATCCAGTGGATGTACCTCCAGAATAGCATTAACTGGGAGAACTGCCACCATATATGCAGAAACGTTCCCTCTCCGGTGCAACAACACCAACAAGATCTAGGCGAGCTGCAGTATATTGTGTGCAGTAGTTTGGGAGTCCTGTACGATCCTGAAAGAAGTTTGAAGTTAGCTCACTGTATCTGTAAGCAGAGGTTGCTCTGAAGATTTAAGATTAAATCTTTTGTCTATTGTTTTTGGCTGAAAACCCACCCCAATTACATATGTACCTGGGCAGATTTAGAAGGTCACTCAGTAAGAGCAGCTTGTATAGTTTGGAGACACCTCTACAGAGTTCACCCAGAGAACAGAGTTGCTCAAAGGATGTCACAGATCTGTGAAGATCTTCAGGATTCTTGGTGTAGGAATCAATCAAAATGTTGTAACTAGAGGTAATGAAATTACGTCAATGTCGTGGCATAAAAGTCCCATAAATGGGATACATGTTTAAGCCCACTGACAGGAAAAGGCATTGAGATGAGAAGTGATTGAGGCACCTGGGGATTACGCAAAAAGGCTAAGTTGTGCAAAATTGGGATGGTAGGTTGGGCAAAGTGGTAAACGCTTACTAGAATCGTATACGGAACCAAATGTGTAGGGCTGCACCAATGAGTGGGGCTGTGCTCTTTCCAGCCATAGGGCAGGAAGCCAGACGGGACTTATATTAGTTTCAAAATTTGTTCAGTTTTTTGTGTTGGGAGTTGTGACAACCAGTTTTGGGCCAAATGGTTCTTATCTGCCGTCACATTCTATGTTTAAATCAAGAGTAGTCCCAGAAGATGGAAGTTATCGAATGTTTTGCCCATTCACAGGAAAGGTAGTAGGGAGGAGTCGGGCAACTATAGACCAGTAATACTTACTTCAGTAGTGGGGAAAGTAATGGAAACCATGTTTAAGGATAGGATTGCTGAACATCTAAAATCACATGGATTTTGAGATCAGAGACAACATGGGTTTACTTCAGGGAGATCATGCCAAACTATTCTTATTAATTTTTTTTGATTGGGTGACTAAAATAATTGATCAGGGTGGTGCAGTAGACATTGCTTACCTAAATTTCAGTAAGGCTTTTCACACTGTTGCAAATAGAAGGCTTATCAATAAACTGCAATCCTTAAGTTTGGATTCCAATATTATTGAATGGGTAAGGCAGTGGCTGATTGACAGGCGACAGAGGGTTGTAGTCAATGGAGTATATTCGAAGCATGGTCTAGTTACCAGTGAGGTACCTCAGGGATCTATACTTGGGCCCACCCTCTTTAATATTTTTATTAGTGATATTTCAGAAGATCTTGATGGTAAGGTATGTCTTTTTGCTGATAATACTAAGATATGTAACAGGGTTGCTGTTCCAGGAGGGATAAGACAAATGGCAAATGATTTAGGTAAAGTAGAAAAATGGTCAGAGCTGAGGCAGGTGACATTTAATATGGATAAGTGCATATATATATATAATTATGCATCTTGGATGTAAAAACCCACGGGCAGAGTATAAAATATTTGATAGAGTCCTAACCTCAACATCTAAGGAAAGGGATTTAGGGGTAATTATTTCATATGACTTAAAGGTAGGCAGACAATGTAATAGAGCAGGAGGAAATGCTGGCAGAATGCTTGGTTGTATAGGGAGACGTATTACCAGTAGAACGAGAGAAGTGCTCATGCCATTGTACAGAACACTGGTGAGACCTCACTTGGAGTATTGTACGCAGTACTGGAGACCGTATCTCCAGAAGGATATTGATACTCTAGAGAGCGTTCAGAGAAGGGCTACTAAACTGCTTCATGGATTACAGGATAAAAACGTATAAGGAAAGGTTAAAGGATCTTAACATGTATAGCTTGAAGGAAAGACGAGACAGGGGGGATATGATAGAAACATTTAAATACATAAAAGGAATCAACACAGTAAAGGAGGAGACTAGATTTACTAAGAGGGTAGTGGATGCATGAAATAGCTTTCCAGCTGAAGTGGTAGAGGTTAACACAGTGAGGGAGTTTAAGCATGTGTAGGATAGGCATAAGGCTATCCTAGCTATACGAAAATGCCAGGGTCAAATGAAAGTATTTAGAAAATTGGGCAGAATAGATGGGCCAAATGGTTCTTATCTGCCGTCACATTCTATATTTCTATGTTTTAATTATAGGAAGGAGGAGTTGCCCTGTAATATATGATGAGTGAGGGTAAGGCTTAGCCTCATTTTAGCCATGGCTTCTTCCTTGTTCACTCTTAGTACATAATTCAGGAATTAAGCGACTGGAAGAACCCACATGGTAATCCGTCAGGAATAGTGGAGAAATGCGTAAGTGCCCAAGATCTCAATTCGGATTCTATAGGCTATCTAACATCTAAAGGGAGCAAGGAGGCACTGAAATGTTTAGTATTTCTGACTTATGGCTATTTTGCTTGAGATTCTAAAGAGACGCGTGTCATATTATTACTGATAAAGCACAAACAAATTCTGCAACGCTGTACAATGGATCGACTGACAGACACGTATTTGTAGCCAGACTAGTTAGATGCACAGGAACAGAGGGTTTGAGGGCCCTGCTCAGTGAGGTCACATGCTTCCGGGGAGTGGGGTATAGTGACACAAAAGGTAAGGATAGGGCAGAAAACTTGGTTGCTAGAAAAGTATTCACGGAGGGCTTAGTGGGTGTTTTTTATTTTTGTTTTTTCAATGACAGTTGCAGGAGAGGAATCAGGGGAGGGAAAGAATGTTCATGCACGTACATGCCGGCTTCTCAATGAAAAAAAATACATGGTTCACACATGCTGCTAGGGCCTCACTGGCCCACGGGATACTGGAAAATTTCCCAGTGGGCCGTGGCACCTGAGGGCTGCCACCGGGTGGCCAGTCCGGTGGCACACTCTGAGGGGGCTGGCCGCATTCCACACTGGTGCTGCCGGTCCGGCCTCACACTCACTAATGCTGACAGCAGTCAGCATAGGAGGACCGAAGGAGGGAGCATGTCTCTCTATCATGCTCCCTCGCGGTTCCCACAATTCCCAGCACAGTATGATGTGGCTGTGCTGGGAATTGTGGGAACCACGAGGAAGCAGGATAGAGAGACATGCTCCCACCTTCAGTTCTCCTATGCTGACAACTCACTGCTGTCAGCATTAGTGAGTGTAAAGCCGGACCGGCGACGCGGCCACCCGGCCCGGCACCACCAGCGTGGACCGTGTCCGGCCCCCGCTGGCTTCTTTTGGTAAATGGGAGGGGGAAGAAAGAGACAGAAAGGGAATAGAGACACAGAAGGGGAGGGGGGAGAAAGAGAGACATGGGGAAAGAGGGAAGAATGAGATAGTGGGAGAATAGAGAGACACAGGGGGAGGGGAAGGAGGAGACAGAGGGGGGAAGAGAGAGTGACACAGGGAAAGGAGGGACAAAGAGACTAAGGGGAAGAGATAGACACAGGGGAGGGGGGGAGAAAGAAACAGGGTGAAAAGAGAGAAACACAGGGGGAGGGGAAAAAGAGACAGGGGGAAGAGAGAGACTGGGAAGGAGAGGGGAAACATGGAGCAGTGAGGGGGAGAAAGAAACATACAGAGGGACTGGGGGAGACAAAGAGGCACACAGAGGGGCTGAAGGTAGAAAGAGACACACATGGGGGCTATATATATATATATATATATATATATATGACATGTATATTAATGTGTGTATTAGTTATATATATATATATATATAATTATGCCTATAATATTTACACATATATTAATGTGCATGTAATGAGCAGATATTGGCCCAGTCTTGTTGCTAGGTGCATACTCCAGCACAATAACATATTTAAAGTGAAGAGCGCACCTATAGGACTTCAAAATAAACAAGATAACGTCATTTTTTACAGCTGTGCACTACATACATTCACCATTTCAGTCCCATTACCAAGCTTTCCTTAATATGTCAAGGTAGTTGGACTGAAACATTGATTAAATGCAAAGGCAAGTCTGCTTAAAATAAACCTGCACTTTTGTTTATTTTGAAGCATATAAGTGCTTTTTTCACTTTGTAGTAATAACTTAAAATTTTAAGTTATCATTTCTAACTCTGTATTAGCACACATTATTGGGCTGGTAAAACATTTTTTTTCCAGGGCTGCTTTTAGTTCCCAGCCTGGCCCTGCATGCTGCTGCAAATATTTAAAATCCTACATATTTCACAGTTTTGCCTGCTGTTGACAAACACAGGCAATTGTTTTTTTAGCAAAGAGTTATTTTTTTAAAGTAATCTAAGCATTAACAATTTTTAAGACAGGTAAATAGTGAAAACACTCTTTTTCACTGAGAAATATTGTGTTAAAAAAATTAAAAGTGAAAATTAAAAGGCACAGCAACACCTCTTTTATGTTAACTTTTTCATTGATCAAATACATAAGCACAAAAAACAACAACCTTGTGACATCAGCGGTCTACAAGGTATACAAAATAATTAATTATTAACCCTGGGCCTTTCACCTTCCTGTGGCTTCATGATAAGCTAGCTCTAGAAGTTCTGCCGAAGAACGAGCGGTGTCTTGGAGCTTGCTTCCCTGCAGTTCAGCCATATTCTGACGCGTCTGATGGTGTATCTGTATAGCTTCACCAGATGGGCCTGCCAGAGACCAACAAAATTAAAATGGGGTAAATAACCCTAGTTTTAGTAGACAAGGAAACTAGTCAAAACCAAAAATGTACAATCACCTACCCACAGGGAACGTGTGCATCCATCTCCGCCGGTTTGATGTGAGCTTCATTGGCATGCGTGAGGGTGCAAAAGGATTGATGAGGGCTCTCTGAGGATGGTATCCACCTGGACGGATATGCAACATTGACTCTGCACTGCCCACATGGAACCTGCCAGGGGCACTGGAGTCTCTCTGCTGGGATTCAATCATTCGTTCCAAAAAATCTGCACATTAGAGCAAGCAAGGATTTAATGGGGGGGGAGACACGTCCATGGTATGTAACCTTATGTGAATTCTCAGGGTTAGTAAAATGACCCATGGGTACACGTTCCTAGGATTGTATACAATGACCAATTACCTCTAGTACTAGTATAACCCAAAGAGCTGCTAGCTTCGTAATGATGGAGATGCTGCCTTGGTATAAGAAGGATGTTGGAAATTTTTCCCAAGGAGCTTTCATCTGATGTTTGGCTTCGTCCTTCATCTGGTGGGAATGGTCGGCCCTGTGTAGATGGGCTGCAGGAAGCATCATATGAGCATGAACTCTTCCGAGTCTGAGTCTCACGCACTGGCCTGAGAAAGTTAGAAAATGTAAACAAAATGAAATATACAACATACACAATCCCTAATAAAACTCCAAAGTGGTGTAACTACCCAGCACACTAGGTATGGAAGAGGCAGGAGATATAATAGAAACATTTAAATATATAAAGGAAATCAACACATTAAAGGAGGAGAGTATATTTAAAAGAAGAAAAACCACAACAAGAGGGACAAAGGTTTAAAAATATCAGGAAGTGTTACTTTACTGAGATAGTTGTGGATGCATGGAATAGCCTCCCAGCTGAAGTGGTAGAGGTTTACACATTGAAGGAGTTTAAACATGCGTGGGATAGGCATAAGGCTATCCTAACTATAAGATACAAGGGACTAATGAAAGTAATTAAAAAATTGGGAAGATGGGCCGAATGGTTCTTATCTGTTGTCACATTCTATGTTTCTATGTGTCTGTAGCTTATACTGGGGACCATATTAAAACACTGACTGCAGGTAGCTGTGAGTAACTTTAAGGGCCTTGGGTAGTTATAAGAATAGATAAAAGCATGCAGGAGGTGGCTGAGAGTCACTATTAACCCTGCAATGTAACATCGCAGTTTCTAAAAACCTACAACCTACTACATTGCAGAGTTAAAGTGACAAGATCACTACGTCCAGACCACTTCATTGAGATAAAGTGAACTGGGTGACTATAGTGTCCCTTTAATAACTACTGATTAATCAGTGGATGCAAATGGGTATGGTAAGAAATATAAACAAAATATAATCTCTTGGGTTCATTATGTCGAGCACTTTATCACAGGTTGAAAGGTCCACAAGCACACCATTGCTCCACACATATAAACACAATATAACTGATTTAATCTCAGAAGTTCAATAAAAATACTAGTAAGAACCACTGACATTACCATCTTATATAATAATTAATGTGAAGGAATCAGCATACAGGTATAAACAAGATATAAAACAAAAAGGTACAAACGCAAGAGATAAAATACAGGGAATGTGAGACAACTCAAAAAAAAGTTAAAAAGATGGGGAGAAAGGAAGGATGAGGCAGAAACAGAGGACGAAAAACAAAAACTTTATAGAACAAAGGAATTAAAAGGTATAGTCTAAACAAGCAGAGAAAGAGATCAAGTGAACCAAAAAAGTTTACATTTCTGTATAATGGTCACCTAAAGTTTGTGCTGCGCTGCGTTCTAGAAGGACCAGGAAGGCGGAAAACTTGTGCATCATAAGCATCGTAGTCAACTTGTATGGGGAGGGCATTCTCAGCTTCTTTTGGGCTTCCTAGGGCTGCAAAAAATAGGAGATGTTTAAGCCTTTTTCTTCACATGTAACAAATTTGTGAATTGTTGGAATCTGGGAAAATGTGCAGAAGAATACAGAAAGGCCTTTAAGACTGGTATTTTAGACTACAGTATTACACAAATCAGATCTAAAAAAACCAAGAACCTCTCCTGTACGAAACTTTGGATAATACCTCTGCAGGACATATAGAAGTAGAGAGCAGTTAGAAGTTGTCAATGTGGGTGTACACTTACAATTATCTTTTCCAAGTCTGCCTTTTTCAGTGACCACCTAAAATGCAAAAGATACGAAATAGAACACAGAAATACAAAAAAAAAAACATCCACATACAGACATATTTTATGTTTAGCAATATCTGTCTATATCCACAGACAGATATTGCTAAACACTTCATTTCAGATTAATCTGCAGCAGGAATTTAAAATTCTGCCATTGAGTGCATAATGCTGTGAATATGTTGGGATTTTTTAGCACAACCAAATCAACAGTAAAGATTAATCTGAAAAACTGGTATGTCTGCAACCTTTAATGATTCATGTTTGAATCTGGTCCAAAAAAAACCCAAAACATGTTTAGTGAATTTTTTCCCCCTGGTAGCTTACAAAAATACCTTTCGAGCAGCGAGTTTGATACGTGGAGTAAAGGTATTCTTCAGTGGCTGGCTCTGGGATGTATAGAAACTGGAAAGAAATAACCAATAAATATTTATTGAAGTTTAATAAAGAGACACAAAGCAGCGGGAGATACAAAAAGTACCATTTGTTACAAAAACATAAACACAAAGGCTCAAAAAGATTATATAAAAACTCCATGTTATAACATACACGGGTGTACAAGGAAGCAACTTATAATACGGAGAACGCACTTGGATTTTGAAACAAATATTTCCAATTAGCACATAATTTCACCTGTGATTGATCCAGTGAGGGATGTTATAATCATCTCCGAGGCGTGAATCAGCAGAATTTGAGCGATTATGCAGCTGTAAAACAGATGGAAACATAAAATGACTTAATGCCTCTAAACCATATAACCCGACACCCAAGACTTCTAAAGCTACCAAGAACCAAGAGAAATGCTAGAAATCAACATTACCATTCTTAAAGGAACACTCCCACCTCATAACTACTCCAGCTCATTGAAGTTGTTACGGGGCAGGAGTGTCTGGGAGCCATCTTACCTTCCGTGCTTAAACAGGTTTCAAACATAACCCATAAGATTACTGGGCCACCCAGTAAAATTTCCTCACCTGGGGTGGCGGTGAGAGAGGGCAGCAGTGCTGGGTGTTAGAAAACAGCTGAACCACTGAAGGTAAGACAGCACTCCTACACCCATAAGAGAAAGAGTGAGAAAGTGCTGGATACTCACCTTAAATAGGGGCACCGCATGTAGCGGCTGCTCCCCCATGCACACCAGATCCACACCAATACCTGGAAGAAGGAAACATTCGATCACGGTTTATTCACCAAACAACAATCTGCAGTAAACTGAAAACAGCAACATTTAGTCTGAAATAGCTAAACTGTGACCATAGTGGCGTTGGAGATTTCTTGCAAATCTGCTATATTTGCCTAAGGTTTGCAATAGAGATTTCAATTCACTGTAGTCCAGTACTAAACAAATAAATCCCTGAGAATCAAAACACCATATGTGGCATATCAGGACTAGGTACTACGTGGCAGAGGACTGCTTGGTGTCTGTCTTCACTATGTAATATTTATGAGGGCTTGCTTTTTTTCCCCAACTCCATATTTCCTTCTGTAGATGGCATGCAGCTTTCTAACTGGCTATGGAAACACAAGAGCCTAATGGAGGAAAATGAGTTTACTTGTCTGCCCACGATTTAAAAAAAAAAAATGTTAACAAACAGAATCACATACAAAATCTCCTTTACCAAATTACCATTGTCAATCATGCGCTGCTTTGTGAGGATCATCAGAGAACGATCAACTTGGAATACACCAACTCCTGGAGTAATTACTACAGACATCTGCCCGGTGCGGTCAAAGTTGCGGTTTATGTAATGCTTGTCAAACACTGTGAAATTAGATGAATACGAATTTGGGTAAAACATAAAAAAAAAAGATGGTAGAAAGTTAAAGGGTTTCTCTAAGCGCCACACTGCAAAGCATATGGTGCATATAGTATCATACAACCACGCTCCCTGTCTAGAGAGGCTAAAGAGTGCACTCATTGTTTAAGACAGCCCCCTATCTCTCTGCTATACCGCAATCTAAACAGATATGTTTTCCGTATTCTGGAGAGCGCTCCAACCATGGCTGCTAGCTTGAAAGACTGCTGCACATAGCCAGTCCACAGAACTGGACAACAGGCTGTAAATAGGCTGATACCAGATCTGAGATAACGGATATGAGCTTATTCGGCCATCCACTCATCCCATATGGGAAGGTGAACTATGGCTCTGGTATAACTGTATCCTATAAATACCTGCTGGACAGATGTTTATGGGATAATAATAAAGAAAAGAAAAAACAACAAAACATAGACCAGAATGAGGGTTTCCTAACTGGTGAAGAGGTCAAAGATGATTCGCCTGCTGCAGCACATGCATGAGTCAGTGTCTCAATTTAAAACAATTATAATAATAATTATAGATTGTACAGCAATGTATCAAAACAACAGTACAAGGACAGTGCAGCTAATTCTCAATAAGAATGGGGTGCGTTTATTTTTTATTTTTTTTAGCCCTAGAAGGCTCCCAGTTTCTGGCTATTGACGTTATAACTGTCAGGATTACAGAATGATCCAGCACGTAGAGGTCTGATAGGTAACGTTTACCGGACCTTAAAATGGCCGGACTAACGTACCAGAGAATAGTCAGGAATAGCCGAGGTCAGGGGATACAGAAAGAGACACAACGATAAGAGAAAGCCAATGGTCAGGGATGCCAGAAAACAGGGAAGTCAAAAACAATGCCAAAGTCAAATAACCAGAATTACCAGAATCAATAACACGCTCTTGGACAACCACAAAGGAAACCACGACAGGACACTGAGCAGGATGAAAACTGGGCCTAAATACCCCTCCTCTAGATCTGATAGGTTGCAGATCAGTGTCCTATCAGATCTAGAGGAGGGATACTGGATGAGAACTGGGCCTAAATACCCCACCTCTAGATCTGATAGGTTGTAACCGGCCTTTGACCCCAAAGGCAGTTACCAGGTTCCCATTTGCATAATTGCTGCTCAGCATTAACCCTTCTGTCGATTTGGTTGCTGCTCAGCACAACTTTTCCTGTGTGGACAGTAAATGCCATTAACCACATTTTTATAAGCGGATGAATACGTGACATTACCCCCCACCTGAAGAACGCCCACCAGGCGGGCAGGGCCAGGCTTGAGAGGAAATTTGGTGTGAAAATAGCGAATTTTGCAGCCAGCATGTATATCAGATGCCGGAACCCAAGAACGATCGGCTGGTCCATAACCTTTCCAGTCTACCAAGTACTGTAAAGTGCTCCGAGAAAACCTGGAATCAATTATGGAGGAGACCTCATACTCTTCCTGTCCAGAAACAACTAAGAAAGGAGGAGGGACACTTGAGACAGTATATTTAATGCAAACAAGAGGTTTGAGCAAGGACACGTGAAATGTATTAGGAATTTTCAAGGAGGCCGGAAGGGACAGAGAGTATGCAACAGGATTGATCCTACGAAGGTCACTAAAAGGTCCAAGGAACCTAGGAGCAAATTTCATGCTAGGGACTTTGAGCCTAATGTTACGAGAAGATAACCAAACCCTCTCACCCACTTGGTAAACAGAGTTTGCACCTCGACGTGTATCAGCATAATGCTTGAAACGGTCAGCAGCAGTACCCAGAGCAGATTGAACTTTAACCCAGGTATCACGGATGGAAGCCAGACGGTCATCCAAAGCAGGAATAGCCGTGTCAGAAAAAACAGCCGGTAGGACAGTAGGATGCCGGCCATTATTAACAAAAAATGGACTATGCCCAGAGGAGTCATGGTCAGCATTGTTCCTAGCAAACTCGGCCCATGGTAATAATTCGGACCAATTGTCTTGAGTGCTATTTGTGGCGGAACCAACCTCGCCACTGGAGGAGCCTGGTTGCCCACCGCTTGCCGCTGGACCATGGCCCTGCATTAAAAACCTTTTATTTTCACTATGTGAGCAGTGTTACCCCAGATAGCTAAGACATGGAGCCCATTACTTCCCAATTATCTCCAGGACAGAGAGGAGGGATTGTGATGCATTGTGGGATTGTAAGCTTGTGATTGGTTAAGGTCCAATATGTTCGTAAGACTATAACCCGACACCCAAGACTTCTAAAGCTACCATTCGTAAGACTATGGGAAAGACTTTGGCTCCATGGCGATTGATCTGAGCGCCATCCGGTAATAATGTGCGCTCAGATCTAAGCTATCTGGGGATAGGTAGAATGTGTATGTTCTATGTGATGAATGTAACAGTATGTAATTTTATGTCTTTTACTGTCTTTTTACTGCCATGTGGTTAATGGAGTGTTGCCTCTGTCCTTGGAGATAATTGGATTACTTCCCAATTATCTCCAGGACAGAGAGGAGGGATTGCGATGCATTGTGGAACTGTAAGCTTGTGATTAGTTAAGGTCCAATATGTTTCCCAGTTTCCCATCTGGTCCCTTAGGGGAGTGTCCACCAGGTGGGAGACCTGCATAAAAGCCAGGCAGTTAGCCCCAGTAAACCAGATTCTGCTTAACCCTCAAAACGAAGTGTCGTCTCGTTATTGGGGGAATTGGATTGTATGCTGACTGCCAGGAGTGTAAACCTTTCGTATGGTTTTTCCTGTTCGGCTGTTTCCAGTATTCATGTAGTTTGCAGTTCGGGAGATTTGTGCTTACAGTAGCTGCTTGTGAATCTGGGAAGGGGAATATCACCTAAACGGTTTTTAACCTCTTGTGTGCAAAACGGTCCGTTACAATTGGTGGCAAGCGGCGGGCTCATTCCCACAGCCCAGAAGGACAGCTACAAGGTAACACCATTCCGTGGATCTACAAATTGAGGGTAATGCTAGTATCCGTACAGCGCCCCTATCTACAAAGGAACTCAGAAAATGGAGGAGAAGTTTCAAGGTAGATTGTACTGTTGCGTATCCCTGAGGTCTGGAGCAGTGTCAGAGGAGGACATGTTGAGATACAGAGAGATTGCCAGAGCCGGGTTATGGGATGAAGCCCTAGAGAAAGTACAGTATTCGTGAGAGGATCGGCGCCGCAGCAGAAGGCAGCGAATCCTGGCTCAAATGGCAGAGCGGATGCCCCTCCTGAGAAAACAGACCGAAGAAGCTTGGGTGACTAGACTCGAGATTCTAGTATATGCAGAACTGGCGCTCGACGACGCATACCAGGCGATACAGTGGTACGCAGCTCAGTGTGTCCCGAGATGTGTACCTGCGACTCATCAATGAGGCCCGGGAAGAGACAACCGGTCCTCTTCCCCAACAGCAACCAACAGTACCCGAGGTGGCGGACCTCCTAGACTGGTCCTGCGAGGATCCCCAGCGGCAGTATTTATCCCAGGGAGCTGAAGGTGCCATCCTTCCTCCCCAGTGGCAGTGTGTCCCCTTAGGAGAGGAGACAGTTGGTCCCTCTCCCCAGCAGTCAAGTGAGTCCCAGGGAGACAAAAGTGCCGTCCTTCCTCCCCAGCGGCAGTGTGTGTCCTTAGGAGAGGAGACAGTGGGTCCCTCTCCCCAGCAGTCAAGTGAGTCCCAGGGAGACAAAGGTGCCGTCCTTCCTCCCCAGTGGCAGTGTGTCCTGCCGGGAGCAGAGACAGTCGGTCTCGCTCCCCAGCCGCGGGACAATATATCGAAAGGGGAGACAGTCGTTTCCCCTCTCCACCAGCAGAAAGAGTGTCAGGGAGAGGAGCTTGTTACCCCCTCTCCCCAGCGGCAGCCTAGCCCACCAAGGAGAGATGATAAACCCCACACCCTCCCCCTACAGCAGCAGCACCAGATCCAGAGAGGGCAGCATACTACCCCTTCTCCTCAGCGGGGCTCCAACCAGGCTACTCCCGTTATAGCGCTGGCACCAGGGCAGAGTACAGCTGGTCTCTGCCCACTCAGCAACCCACTGACCCGGAATAGCTGCACCCCACATAGCAGTGGTGAAGCACCTGGACAAAGGCAAGCTACTCATTTCCCCAAATGTAGTAAGCCTTTATTGTGGGTGGGCTGTACTACTGATTGGGTTCTGTGGGTGGGCTGCTGGACTAACCAGGGCACTGACCGACAGGAGGTCAAATACCCTGTTAGTCTGATTGGTAAAGGGGAGAAATGTGGCGGAACCAACCTCGCCACTGGCCACTGGAGGAGCCTGGTTGCCCACCGCTTGCCGCTGGACCATGGCCCTGCATTAAAAACCATTTATTTTCCCTATATGAGCAGTGTTACCTCAGATAGCTAAGCCATAGAGCCCATTCGTATACTGAAAGACTATGGGAAAGACTTTGGCTCCATGGCGATTGAACTGTATGCATGTGATCTGAGCGCCATCCGGTAATAATGTGCGCTCAGATCTAAGCTATCTGGGGATAGGTAGAATGTGTATGTTCTATGTGATGAATGTAACAGTATGTAATTTTATGTCTTTTACTGTCTTTTTACTGCCATGTGGTTAATGGAGTTTTGCCTCTGTCCTTGGAGATAATTGGATTACTTCCCAATTATCTCCAGGACAGAGAGGAGGGATTGTGATGCATTGTGGGATTGTAAGCTTGTGATTGGTTAAGGTCCAATATGTTTCCCAGTTTCCCATCTGGTCCCCTAGGGGAGTGTCCACCAGGTGGGAGACCTGCATAAAAGCCAGGCAGTTAGCCCCAGTAAACCAGATTCTGCTTAACCCTCAAAGCGAAGTGTCGTCTCGTTATTGGGGGAATTGGATTGTATGCTGACTGCCAGGAGTGTAAACCTTTCGTATGTTTTTTCCTGTTTGGCTGTTTCCAGTATTCATGTAGTTTGCAGTTTGGGAGATTGGTGCTTACAGTAGCTGCTTGTGCATCTGGGAAGGGGAATATCACCTAAATGGTTTTTAACCTCTTGTGTGCAAAACGGTCCGTTACAATTGGTGGCAAGCGGCAGGCTCATTCCCACAGCCCAGAAGGACAGCTACAAGGTAACACCATTCCGTGGATCTACAAATTGAGGGTAATGCTAGTATCCGTACAGCGCCCCTTTCTACAAAGGAACTTAGTCTGGGGGTGGTAAGAGAATGAAAAAGAAAATGAAATTCCCAATTGCTTATTGAAAGCCATCCAAAACCGGGATACAAACTGAGAACCTCTATCAGATACAATATTGTGAGGAATGCCATGCAGACGGACAATCTCACATATAAAGATCAGCACCAGGTCTATAAGTTATAAGAAAATTAAAGCGAGAAAGGAACAGAGACCTAGAAGACAATCGTTTAGCATCTCCTATGTAAGCCAGGTTTTTGTGATCAGTAATGATCAAAAGGGGGTCCTTGGAACCCTCTAAAAGATGTCACCACTCCTTGAGAACTTGAATAATGGCCAACAATTCCCTATTGCTAATATCATAATTACGCTCGGAAGGGGACAACTTTCTAGAGAAGTAACCACAAGGATGCAATGGAGTATCCTGGCTCTCCCTCTGGGAGAGAACTGCCCCTACCCCTGTCTCTGATGCATCAACTTCCAGTATGAAAGGTTTACTCGTGTCAGGATGTATCAATATGTCGGCGGAGGCGAACCGCTGTTTGAGAGTTTCAAAGGCTTCTATGGCCTCCTTAGTCCATATCATACTGCTAACCCCCTTGCGTGTCATATTGGTGATGGGGACTATTACTGAAGAAAATCCCTTTATAAATCTTCTGTAATAATTGGCAAAAGCAATGATCCTTTGAATGGCTTTCAACCCAGTCGGTAAAGGTCATTGTAGAACCGATTCCAGCTTTTTAGGATCCATCTGAAACCCCAAGGCAGAGATATTATATCCCAAAAACTGTACTTCAGATTGGTCAGAGATGCATTTTTCTAATTTACAATAAAGTTGATTCTTTAACAAGGTCTACAGAACTTGTCTAATGTGATCGTGGTGAGTCTGAATGTCAGGAGAATAAATAAAGATATCATCCAGATAGACCAAGACAAACGAGTAAATGTAATCCCTGAGTACATCATTTATGAATTCTTGGAAAACCGCTGGAGCATTGCACAACCCGAATGGCATCACTAGATATTCACAGTGTCCACTTCTGGTATTAAATGCAGTCTTCCACTCGTGGTTTTCCTTGATTCTCACTAAATTGTAAGCACTTCTAGGATCAAACTTAGTAAATACTTTAGCGCCTTGGAGTCTATCAAATAATTCAGCAATAAGAGGAATGGGGTGGGCGTTCTTAATGGTGATTTTGTTCAATGCCCTGTAATCGATACATGGGCGCAACTCACCATCCTTTTTAGATACAAAAAAGAATCCTGCCCCAGCAGGCAAGGATGATTTTCGTATGTGGCCTTTATTCAATGAATCCTTAATATATTCCTCCATTACTCTACTCTCCTGAGGTGACAGAGCATAGACTGCTCCCTTAGCTGGCATAGTGATGGGTAGTAAATTAATGGAACAGTCATAAACTCTGTGAGGAGGTAGAGTATTCGACTGAGTTTTGCTGAATCCTTCTTTAATGTCTTGGTACTGTATAGGGATTTCTGGGTTTTGAGGTGTACTAGTGGGTAATCCAGTAGTGCCCACTCTTTTGGCAACATTTAATATACACCTTTCATAGCAATCCTTACCCCATTCTAATATTTCCCCATTAGCCCAGTCAATATGAGGGTTATGCTTGTTAAGCCATGGAAAGCCTAATATGATCGGACAGGAAGGGGATGCAATAACCTGAAATGTAATCTCTTCCTTATGTAAGGCACCAATGGACAAATTAATGGGTAAGGTTTCGTGTGTAATCAATGGTTGTGAGAGTGGTCTCCCATCAATAGCTTCAACAGCTAGGGGTGATAGTCTCTCCTTGATAGGTATAGTATTACATTTAACAAATTGAACGTCGATGAAGTTTCCAGCGGCACCTGAATCCATCAGGGCTTTGCATGAAAAGTTCTTCTTTTCAAAGGCAAAATAAATATCAAGGAGAAACCTATTTTTACCCATTCCAGAGGACGTTTCCATTACACCTTAGACCTGTCCCTTTAAGGTGCCTAGGTGCGGTAGTTTTCCGGACGTATGGGACAATTGTTTCTCATATGTCCTTTTCTACCGCAGTATAGACATAGGCCTTCTTTTTCCCTATACTGTCTTTCTGCTTCCAACAGTCTAGTGACCCCCAACTGCATGGGTTCGGGTTCGGACTGTACAGGAAATTTAGGGACAATAAGTTTTGAGAAGTGGGTTGCTAAAGGCATATTCATGTGTCTGGTCTTGTTTCTAGTAGCGTCTCTGGTTCTCAATCTATTATCAATTTGCATGACAAAATTGATAAATTCATTAAGCTTTTTGGGTAAGTCTTTGGCGGCAATCTCATCTAGCATAGTCTCAGATAGTCCCTTTTTAAATGCAGAGATTAACCCACTATTAGTCCAGTCTACCTCGGAAGCTAGGGTACGAAATTCTATGGCATACTCCGAGATAGACCGGTTCCCTTGTCTGATATGCGTCTTCCTCCCTGCCTAATAGTTCAAACGTAAGTTTAAATTCCGTAATAAACTCCTGGTAATTGTGTGCCACACTCCTATTACTCTCCCATAATGGATTGGCCCAAGCTAAAGCTTTACCTTTTAATTGATTCATCAGGTAACCAATTTTAGCTCTGTCTGTGGGAATAGATCCAGGTGAGGCCTCAAAATGATACTCTATTTGGTTAAGGAATCCCCGGCATTCTTGGAAATTACCATCAAAATGCGGTGGAGGAGATAGAGAGATAGTTGGTGCCTTGTATACTATAGGCAGAGGTACACAAGGCGGAGGTGAGACAGTAGGAGCAGCCGCAGGTTGCAGGTGCACTGTTCGGATAAGAAGCGTACTGAAGGCCTGGGCAAATTGATCCATGCGGTGATCATTCTCCTCTAGTTTCCTTTCGCAAGCAGCTATGTGCTTACACAATTCTACAGGATCTATGGCCATGTCGTAATGTCAGGATTTCAGAATGATCCAGCACGTAGAATTGTGTAACACAGAGGACTGATAGGTAACGTATACCGGACCTTAGAATGGCCGGACTAATGTACCAAAGAATAGTCAGGAATAGCCGAGGTCAAGGGAAACAGAAAGAGACGCAACAATAAGGAAAAGCCAGGAGTCAGGGATGCCAATAAACAGGGAAGTCAAAAACAATGCCAAAGTCAAATAACCAGAATTACCAGAATCAATAACACGCTCTCGGACAACCACAAAGGAAATCACGACAGGACACTGAGCAGGATGAGAACTGGGCCTAAATACCCCTCCTCTAGATTTGATAGGTTGCAGATCAGTATCCTATCAGATCTAGAGGAGGGATACTGGATGAGAACTGGGCCTAAATACCCCTCCTCTAGATCTGATAGGTTGTAACCAGCCTTTGACCCCAAAGGCAGTTACCAGGTTCCCATTTGCCTAATTGCTGCTCAGGATTAACCCTTCTGTGGATTTGGTTGCTGCTCGGCACAACTTTTCCTGTGTGGACAGGAAATGCCATTAACCACATTTTTAGAAGCGGATGAATACGTGTCAATAACAGCCATTAAAATGTGTAAGATAACTGGTCTAGACTCTCTATTGATCATCCCCATATCCATATGAAGTAAAGCCATATTTGGAGTCAGTTTGAACTTCATTTCCAGTAAAGTTGATAAATAATGGTTTGTCATCTCCCAAAGAGGTCTAATTATCAGGCAATCCCCCCAAATGTGTTTAAAAATCGCAATTGGCTCAGTGCATCTCCAACAGTGGGAGGAGGCTGTAGGATACATTTTTGGTATTTTTTGATGAGTTCTATACCATCTATTTAGTATCTTGTAATGAATTTCATGTATATTTAAATAGTGGCAGGTTTTATATAATGTCTTAAGAGAGTTATTCTATTCTTTCATAGTTATATCTATTTTCACATCATAATTCCATTTAGCAATTGCCAGGGGAATTGATTTAATCTGAGCCTTATAAATTAGTTTTTGACATTTGTTGACTAAATGAGTATAATCTGTTTGTCCAAATATTTCTGAAAGGAACTTAACTGGTGGTCCAAGGGAATTAAATCTCAGGTATGTTTTAAAAAAAGATATTACCCTTATATAGATAAACTATTCTGTAGAAGGTATACTATATTCAGTTTGAAGTTGTTCAAAAGATTTTAATGTATTTCCTCTCAGGAAGTTGGAAATCTTTTCCATGCCCTTATGGGTCCATAATTACAGATTTATATTTATCATTAAATTTGATAGTATATTTAAATTTATACCAGGAATTATTTTCAATTTTAAACAAATTGTTTATTAAATCCAAATGGTTTGGGATTACAAACGGCACACGCCAGGGCTGCCCACTATCACCGTTATTATATATATCAATTGAATCCTTGGCAGTAGACATAAGATCCAATCAGGATATAATGGGGTTTGGAGAAAACAATACCCAAAAAAGTTATATGGCGACGACGTATTGATAACTATTCAGAAACCTGAGGAATCTATTGACCATGTTGTGGAGATTATTCAAAATTATAGTAAATTTTCCAATTACAAAATAAATACTGAAAAATCTACGGCATTACATCTAAATACAGTGCAAAATAACATTATTAATATAGAAAATTAATATGGATTTAAACAAGTTAAAAGTTATTTTAATTATTTGGGTATACAAATTTCAAAAAAAATGGATGTAAATTAACATTTTACTGTTAATTAAAGAAACTAATATTAATTTTTAAAAATGGAAAACTCTAAACACATTAAAAGCATATATTATACCGAAATTTTCGTACATTATGAGAATGAACCCTATAAAGATTCATGATAGTTGGTTAGAATTAATTCAATCATCATCTACTAAATTTATCTGGTCAGGTAAAAAACACAGAATAAAAAAAGATATTATGTCAAAGAAAAAAGATGAAGGAGGTATGAGTATTCCAATCATTCAAGATATTGCACAAGCTAACCTATTAGCGCATATTTTAATTGCAAATAAGGAAGATTCTATGAAAGAAAATTGGTATAAAATAGAATAGAATCTAACTTTGGGAGACAGGGATTACAAGACCCTTTTATGGCCTATAGATAAAGAAAGAAATCAGCATATTAAAAACTCCAAATCGCTGATTGTTCAATAAATCTTCCCTACCTGGTCCCAATTTAAAAAATAAAAGATTTAATTGTAAATAGATTTATCTTTTTTTTTTTTTTTTTAAAGCACTATGTACATAAAGCATTAGATGAGTGGGGTAAATTCACAGCTATTCTGTCCCTTTAAGAATGAAATGTACATTTATGCACAATCTTGTTCTATAGATTACTTCTTAACACAGCACTATACATTCACTCACCATTAAAGGACAGGTTGATGGCTTCTAGATAATTCCCTTGATCGGAGGTAGAGTTCTGTCCTCGGGGAAAGCCTTCTGCAAGCACCCAAACCATTACATCAGAGGCTCAATAATATGAAGAAACAGTCTTTAATGTATTTTTAATGCATACACAAAAAAAAAAGGAAATTGCATTCCATGTTATGGCCAACTAAAATAATTGGAAGAGATTTATTTCACTCACAGAGAAAAATAGTGAGCTTTGTGCAAGGGATACCACGAAACTCACTAGAGAAAATAGCGATACACACCAGGTTATTCAATACGTTCTTGGAAATTCAAAGTTAATTTCAAATTTAGAACAAATATTCAAACTGATAACATTTTTTTTTCAAGTTCAGCTATTTTGGCCTAAAAATTTTAAACTACCTATTCTGTTCTCAGTGCTATACTACAGAGAACGCAATGGAATTTGAGGAATAACTGGCTCATCTTACATGACAATAAGGTAGCGGAAAATGTCACTGGGGAAATAAATAAATAATACAGCATATCATGCCTGCCGCTTCCATTAGCTCCATGGAGCTAACAAAAGAGTAAGAAAACCTCCCTGGATGTATACTTGACAGTCATGGAGGTGTTCTTGCCTAATGTAAAAGAGTGTAGATTTCTATTGACAGGCTCCAGAAACATAAAGCATTTCAGCTTGCAAAACTGCTGTATTATTATTATGATGATATTTATATAGCGCCATCAAATTCCGCAGCGCTTTACAATGGGTGGACGAACAGACATGTAGTAAAGAGTGTTCCTTTAACATGTATAAATGACATCAATCAGATCACTGATAATTGGGCAAAATAGCTGATAAAAATAAACACACACATCAAAACCTTTTTATCTGATAGCTATAAATAGGTTCCTTGAAAAAATAAACACTGTATACTGTATAGAGTTTGATATTGGCAATAACAGATACAATTCATAGTCTGCATTTACACACAGAGCATCTGAGTACCTGCATGCTTCAGGCGAACCAGAGTTGGGTATTGAATGAAAAGCTTCTTAATAGTAACAAGCAGGGATGTCCATTCCTCCCGCCTTTCATTCTGCACAACCACCCTGCAGAAAGCAAGAAAAAAGGATAAGAAATGTGCAAGAACTACTGCGGGAAATTTGAGGGAAAATTATTTTTGACAGATGAGTTAGGGCTGGTATATTGGATTACGCCAACATTTACTGAATTCAGCAATGGATTCAAAAACATTGGCTCTGAATAGAGTACAGCATGCAGTTATTATCACTGCAGTCTTTAACCCCTTAAGGACGGAGCCAAATGTACAAGTTGTGATCCAAAAAAAATGTAAACAAACCACAGAATTTTGACTATATGTCTGTTCAACAATAATTTACCTTTTTTTTATATTATAAACACCCATACTTATTATATATCATATTGTTCAGGAGAATGAGAGCTTTCATTTCATATCAATTTTTTATATATGGAACTAACTTTTTTGTGAAAAAAAAACTTTTGACATTTGGTTATTTTTCAAGTTCTGCATTGCATTTTTACTGTGAATGTCATAATACTGTTCACTTTTACTACAATAAAACACACACATTTGTATTCAGCAATGTCTCAAGAGTAAAACAGTGCCCCCCCTACCCCCATGTATATTTTTTATGGTGTTTTGGAAAGTTACAGGATCCAATATAGGGCTTGTCCATTTATGTTTTTACATGTAGAAATTTGGTAGATTGGTTTGCTGGGCCTATGTTACCTTTGAGACCGTATGGCAGCCCAGAAATTAAAATTATCCCCATCATGGCATACCTTTTGAAAAAGTAGACATCCCAGGGTATTTTCACATAAAACTGTACTTTCAGTGATGATTTTATTGTTCTTATACATTTCACTGCTCTGAAACACTCACATTTCTGGTCAGTGATTTCTCATGAGTACAACGGGACCCCCATGTATATGTTTTATGGTGTTTTGGAAAGTTACAGGGTCAAATATAGGGCTTGTCCATTTATGGTTTTACACGTAAAAATTTGGTAGATTGGTTTGCTGGGCCCATGTTGCCTCTGAGACTGTATGGCAGCTCAGAAATTAAAATTACCCACATCATGGCATACCATTTGGAAAAGTAGACATCCCAGGGTATTCAAAATGGGTTATGTCCAGTCTTTTGTAATAGCCACTTAGTCACAAATAGTAGCCAAAGTTGGTGTTCAGATTTTTTTTTTGCATTTTTCACATAAAAACTGTACTTTCAGTGATGATATTATGGTTCTTATACTTTACACTGCTCTCAAACACTCACATTTCTGGTCAGTATTGTCTCACCTGTGCAATGGTACTCCCTATGTATAAGTTTTATGTGGTTTTGGAAAATTATAGGGTCTAATATAAGCCTTATCGACTTATGTTTTCACACACTGAAATTTGGCAAAGTGATTTTCTGGGCCTATGTCGCCTTTGAGAGCGTTTGGCAGCCTGGGTAAAAACATTTCCACTATTATGGCATACCATTTTCAAAAGTAGGCAACACAGAGAATTCGAAATGGTGTGTATTGATATGTTTGGCCTAACCAGTTTATCAGAAATGCAGGACCCATATAGCGATTATAGCTTTATTTGTGCTTTTTCAAACACATTAACTCAATTTCCACAGGATATTTCATATTCCTGAAATGGGTTACTGCAATAGTGCCTCAGTATTTTGATTACACATTGTTTCATGAATATAACAGTACCCCCACATACCATTATTTTAATTTGTTTCGGTAACTCACAGGGCCAAATATATTAGATGCCCTTTTCAGCTTGTAAGTTTGAAAATTTGTCACTTTTGACAATATGTCACTTTTGAGAAAGTATGGCAGCCCAGGACAGAAAATTACACCCATGATGGTATAGTATTTTTAAAAGCAGTCAGCGCAGGGTATTCCAAATGGCATAGTTTGAGTTGTTTGATCTAGCCACTTTAACAGACATGCAGTGCCCATGTAGCAATTTATACTTTAATTTGTGTTTTTTTTACACACATGTTCTATTTTCACGGGAAATTTCATAATCTTGAGATTAGTAAGTGCAATAAAACATCAGTATTTTTATTTAAAATTGTCTCCTGAATATAACAGTAACCCCATTTACCATTTTTGCAGGATTTTCACAAACAGAACAGTATCCCCACATACACGTTGTTCTGAAGGCGAGAGAGATATCTTTGATCTCACACAGAGAGTCACTGTGTGAAAAGTTTGAGAAGTTTAAAAAAAAAAACTAACGTATTAACCCTGTGATTAGAGTTTTACTTTGTAAAGTCATATTTTAACAAGTACTACAAATGTAGTACTTTGAGTTGTTTCGTGTAGCCACTTTAGAATGATTTTACTACACTGTGCGTGGATCTTTTACTTTTGTATCTTGTTCGATAAGATCAACTAAACACAGAAATTGAAAACAAGTCAAAAACTGTATAGTCAAGCAGGATGGATATGTCCACTCTTAGCATACGCACTTGTAGAAATCTTCATAGAATTGACCCTTGTGATCCTCTGTGATGGAGTTACTGCGCTGAGCTTCCGGGAAATCGTCTAGAACACAGAAAGCAATGGAACAAGAGATGGTAGGAAGCAAAAGTGTAAAGGAAGAGTCCAGAGAGTGAGCATACAGTAAACATACAGTAAAAAGCATTAGTAATAACAATTAGAAAATCCTTTTCATTTCAGGACCGCACATTGATATTCCAACTATTACTCATTATACCTAATTTACCTCTATCCCCACATGCATAAAAGAAATGCCTTTAAAGAAATAATTTTTTTTAGAAAAACTCCATCTTGATTATATAGTCCAAAGGCTTGGGGAACATTTAAGATCTCTAGTGAGAACTAATTTTATTTCAAAAGATTGAACACAAAAGTTTTAAATTTACTAAACAAAACTGTGTGTATATTTCGAGACTAATTTCTGAAATACTAAAAATAAAAATCAGAATTGCTGGATATTCTCCATACAGAAAGAGGAAGACGGCTTCATCCAAATATCATTAATTACCTCTATTCTAATGAAAAGAACATGCTGCTAGAACATATAATGGGAAGCAAAAAGACCACTATTGATGTGGTTCATGCTTACTGGGACTTGAGACTGGTTATTCAAAGAAAACAACTAATAACTAATAGAAAATGAAGGTGCAAACAATTAAAATACAAAACATTGTTACTTGGATGGGCAACAGATTGCATTCACACAATTCCACTTACTGGTCAGGTAAGGGCATTGTATAACAGAAGCAGTCAGATTCAATTAAAGCCAAACTGTACATTAACCCATTTAAAATCGGATGGTAGACTAGCAAAGATATTGGCATAAAGCCAGTACCTTTAAAGTGTAAGAACTTGAAATACAAAAGAAGACCTGGCAATTCAGCTTTTTTTTGTTTCTGCAAAGACAGGGCCTGCATATCTCTCCATAGATGAATGTAAATCTAGCTGTGCATTGGAGATCATTTTGTATTTTTTTCACAGTTGACAATTTCTAAAATAACATAGAAAGGGATAAATTCCATTCTGGTGTGGATTATTCTGTTCTGAATTGTAATTGGGCAAGCAACTAACATGAGAAATTAAAGTATGATTTATCGCACAATTACAGTTTACTCAGGTGTGCAGCAGCATGCACACAATTTCATGTAAGAAGAAGCACAATCTGACATATAGTATAGTAACACACATACCTAGAGATTTAGCATCATAATATGTTCTGGAGAAGAGCACGACTGTAATCTCATGGCTGCAGTTCTTCTCCTGAGTGAGGAAAACACTGTGTAAACAAGTATCCAGCGTTGAAATGACACGAAGCAATGAGTGACATAGAATTTACCTTCCACTTGTTAAAGAGATCAGCTAGGAATCCATTCACAGCCTTTTCAAAGTACAGGTCACCTAAGTAGTATGTCAAAGTTGTAAATAAAACTCTAGATTAGGACCTTTAATGACTGCTGACTTTTGAAAATAGGCCATGGTCAACTTTACAATATTTGCCCATGTAACATATTACCATAAATATCGAAATCCCACATCTCACAACTCATCTGTATGAATATATACACCATGGCAGAGGTAGATCGAAACACTACCTGCAAGAAGAAACAAAACAATATAAGAAATATATCCATATAATCTAATGAAAATGGTAACACAGGCACAAACTGAAGGAGTAATCAGAAACATGACATGAAAGGAAAATAATGTCCACATACTCGTGTGTCCTCACTGATGTACCCACAGGTCACTTTCTCGCTCTTCACCCATAGTTCTCCTGCTTGCGCTCTGCAATAATGAAGGCAAGTCTCTCTTATCAATGGTCGACAAATAAATTAATTAATAAACTTCAGATCTAATCTACGCCGGTTGATGAATATCCATCTTGATATAGTAAAGAAGATACAGGGGGACAGGCAAACCTGTTTAGCAAGTACTTACCGAATTCCAGCATACTCCACTTTCTGAGTTATATAAGCACAGGAACTGACCTGTAAATTGCAGGGAGAGGAATTTTCTTAGATGATTGCACGTGAAAACAGAATACAAATACTTCACTGTTTATAGATCCCAAAGTCTCCTCCATTTTCCCATCTATTTTTGGGGATTTTGGCATTCTTAAGCCCTAAATGGTACCAAATTTTTTTTTTGCTAATCCAGACTGGGGCATTCAGACTTTAGTGAATAATCCTGAGTGCACTGGTGACATTACCAATGCATGCATTAATTAAAATGTATACATACCTAAAGATCACTTCTCCTCTTACAATATGACATCCTGGAATTTAAGGAGTGGGATTCACAGTGACCCCATTCTCAAATAACACTTGCATTATCCCTCAATTCCTAGCAAGCGGGTACATGATGCATGTGTTGCATGTATACAGTGTGGGCTACTACTATAAAATGGGATTTCTGTTTCCTTCTAGTGGATGTGAGATTTGAGACTTGGGGATGGGAGGGGTGTAGGCAGAGGGGCAAATGTGTACCAAATATTTCCTGATTGAACTCACCAAACTTTTCTTCAGTCTCCACATATCCCCACGCCCTATATACTGGTCCTTAAAGGTCAGTTCTACAAGGTCAAGTGTCACATCCTGGAATACAGTGCCAAAATGAAAAGTTATGTACAAATTAAAATTAATAAAGGCTTGTGATTAACAAGCACTGTGTATACATATATACAAACACATATAAATCCAAATCATTTTGGGAGTTGCAGATCATCAACATATGTGAGGCCAGAGTTTGAGATCCATTGTGTAGATGTCCTAAAGATCTCTTTCCTCTGAGATTTCACATAGGACATGAGTTAGATTTATATTGTGGGCTAATGTGCAATCAAGGTTCTCGGGGGAGAGAATTATGTGCGAAAGGATGATAGACTCACTTTTGGGTCAACAACGTTGACGTATACATCCTGATATGGACGAAGTCGAAAAACCTGAGCAACAGTCTGGTCAATGCTGACAGTCTCTGTAAGCAGAAAGCACAAACATTACCCACTTCAGAGAACATGAACGAATGGATGGGAAATGATATGTTTGCAAGAAAGCTACAAGGGAACGCACTGTACCTTTCTGTAAATCTTCCTTCAAAGATTTCACCTGCAAAAGAAGAGGACTGCAAGGAGATAAAATAGGATTAATTTATATACAACTAACACAAACCACACAAAGAAAAAAAATCAAGTCTGCCCTCACCCGACAGTATCAAATACTAATTTGGAGTTCTTGGGCTGAAAGCAGACACCTGTAATTTTTCAAAACACAATAGACTTTCAATGTGGAGTTACAAATTTACTTTTTAAAAAAAAAAAAACACTCCAAGGAACTACTACAGAGTGCTGTTGTGTTTATGGTTCCAAGAGTGCCCTGGCACCCCTCCACTATAAGAATTCAAACCGCTTTATAACAAATTGACTTCTGACCAAGGGTCCGCAAAGTATCGCACACAGCTTCCACTACTACTGCATCAACGAGTTTTCATTACTATACAAAATGTGTGATGATTAAATGTCAAGGTTATTGCTCTGATTTCATAATTTGTGTTTTCATACATTTTATGTAATCTAGTTATCACAACGGATGTTAAAGAAAACCTGTAAAGTCATAGGCTCGGCAACATGTTGGCAACCAGACAATAAATGTCAACTTCAAGAACAACAATTATGTTTACAAAATATTGACAAAGAAGTAAAACATTGGGGACTGTGAATTGCTCATATTAGAAATGCTAATTCTCTCTTGGTAGACCAACAATGAAACCACATTGAAGGGTACGTAAAATGGCTGATGTACTAAGATGTGTAAGCTAGACTTCAGCCTGGAATCAAAATAGATAAGAACATATTATTACACCAATAAAATCACAACAAGATCAATGATGGCAAGTCAGATTCACATACAGAACAACAGTGATAAATTAATTCCACCTAGGAATTGTTTAAAACTAAAACGTTATTTAAACTGACAACATTATGCACATGAATGTGGTATGAAACACACAGTTGAAGATTGCTTATTTTCACCTCATAGATCAATCATCCTGAGCTGTTAAAGAGATACTATAGTGCCAGGAATACAAACCTGTCCCTCTGTGCTGGGCCAACGCTCCGTCCCCTCCAATGTCCCGCACCAAAAGGGCTCTAATACACATGCGCAGCAAACGCTGTGCGTGCATTAGACCTCCCCATAGGAAAGCATTGAATCAATGCTTTCCTATGGGGAAAAAAAACTGACGCTGGAGGTCCTCGTGCAGAGCGTGAGAACGTCCAGCATCAGATATGGGACCAAAGGTCAATTTCAATTCAGGAGGCCCTCTAGAATCTGTCTGGTAGACAGCCACTGAGGGCAGACTTAGAGCTGCAATGTAAACATTGCAGTTTCTCTGGAACTGCAATGTTTAACATTGCAGCACTAGGTGCAAAAGGGACACAGCACCCAGTCCACTTCAATGAGCTGAAGTGTTCGGAGTTCTGGGTGCCCATAATGTCCCTTTAAATATATAATGTTGAAAGATACAGGCCTGCAGTAATATAGTATGAAGAACTTTGTGCAAGATCAGTAAAAAGCAAGTCCCAATTTGTAGAATATTTTGTCTTACCTGTACTCATCATTGGGATGAGCAATCTCTACTATGTCCCCAAGCTTAATTGAAGGGAAAACCTTTGAATTGATAACCAGTTCATCTTCTGGAAAGAGAATGGGACATATATAAAAAATAAATAACATTTGGTTATAAAGAAAGAAAAAGAAGCTTGGCACATACTAGGATTGTGTCCTTTTATTGTTATTTATATAATTTAACATAGTAATGCACATTCCAAGATGCCCTATTCTTAGTTGTAAGAAGGAACTATGGGCACTAAAAAAGTTTGTTGTGCAGAGTTGACAACTTACTTACAAACTTTACACTTCAACACCAAAGATGAAATAAATGATTCAAGCCTGGTGAATTTTTGGTGTCCCCCCAATTGCTCCATAGGACTATTTCTCACGCTTCTCACCATACCCCATTGCATATTGAACAAATCCATTTATCTATTCCGCAAGGTGATCACATATCTGCAAGTCACACCAAACTGAAAAGTGAACTGCAAAATTTAAACTGTGGCAAAATTGGAGAATTGTCACCAATATTTTGCAATTTAGTTTTCAATTCATTACAATTCATTGTTAGTTGAAAAATACCCTGTCAGGGTTATTTGCTAAAGTGAGAATTGCCAGGAAGTCAAAGTGAATATCACACTTAAGTAAAAAAGTAGCCTTACTGAAAAAAAATCTCCAAGTCACCTAAGCTTCCATTTTGCCTTAAATGTCAAGGTCACTTTGAATTCCTTACAATTCTCACTTAGTAAATAGCACTGTAAGTGTTCATTGCAGTGTCATGTTCAAGTGGATTACTCCAGTAACTTGACCTCTGGAGAACATAGTATAATAATAGCTGAAGAAGGATGCTTAGCTCCAGGAGCTTAATGAACCAAGTTAGAATTGTGAGATTTTATGGTTACAGGTAGGGTTAGATGTAAATACTACACTTAATGTAAAACTCAAAGCACCATAAACACTACAGCCCTCAAGCCACTAGAGGCCCGGTGTAATTTGCCAATCCACTATAGTACAGTCCACCACCTAACATGGGTCTATTTGGGCACCTACATACCCTCCTTCCGGTGTTCTCCTTTACGAGAACACTGTTACCTTATAACCTTATAGTATCTCTGTACTGGGCGTCTGTAGACAGCATGCAATGCCACCTAAGTCTTCCCCTCAGTCTGTCCTATAGGATGTCCTCCCCCTCCAGTGAGTGGGAATGACATCACCAGAGGATGGTGCCGAAGGGAGAGCTATAGTTAGCTATACACAGAGAATGAGCAGTGTGCCTTTACCGCTGCCCCCGAAGCCTTTCTTGTGGATGACAAGCTTGTACACTTTGTTGGTTCTCATGTTGTACAGTACAAGGATCCTTGGGATCTGGCTCCAGTCTGAGAGGAGACAGAAAGACTTCATAAAGGTTTTGTTTACAAGGGGAGAGACAGTAAACATGACAGCATTCAGACATTGACAGACAGCAAACACAGCGTGCACACCATAGGCATGCGCAGCACATTTCATTAGGGTGTACACCAAGAAATATATTTTAGAAGCCTGTGTGTGATGGGTACTTTTCTTTCCTAGGTGTGGGGTGGCTGTGTGTCATATACGTGGCTGTGTGCGAGTATATGAGAGGGATATGTTTGGGTGGGTTTTAGTGATATGAATGGCAGTAAATGACGTGTTGGTAGATATGAGTGATGTGTGTGGGTAGCTGTGAGTGAACAGTATTTCTGTGTGTGGGCAGATGAGTGTGCTGTAAGTGGGTGGGGAAGCTGGGATCAGAGTTATTAAAATGGGGAAATAATATTACGTGTGGTTGTGAGAAGAGTGGGGATGGAAGGAATGGTTGGGGGTTGATAGGAGGTTGTGCAGGAGTTATGAGTTGGAGTGATAGCAAGTTGAGGAGGGTGGTAGTGATCGGAAGATAGAGATGTATCCTAAATTATAGGAGTAAGGGAGAGATAGCTGGGAGACATTGTAAGAGGGAAAGGTGGATGGGTGTAGTATGATTAAAAGAGAAAAAGACATAGGTTTGTAGTAGGAGGAGGATGGATTGAGAAGGATAGAGGAGGAAAGGGTGGGGTGAAAGGAAGGGATGAGTGCGAGTAATATGAGGATGAAACACAGAAGAAGGGATGAAAGTGAGTGATAATAGGATAAGGAGAGAGGAAGACATGGGTGGGAGTGATAGGAGAAAAAGGGAGATATAGCTGAGTGGCAGGGATAGGAGTGTGGGGGGAGAGGAAGGGATGGGTGGGAGTGATGGGAAGGGGGACAGGTAGGAAAGGATGGATTTGGGCTGATACGAGTATGGAGTGAGAGAGATGGGAGGAGTAATATGAAGAGAGAGGGGAGATGGGTGATAGTGGAAAGCAAAGGGATTAGTGGCAAGATGGGTGTCATAGGAGGGGAGGAATATATAAGGTGGCAGAAATAAAAGACTTAGTGATGTGGTGCTCTGTGAGATGTGCAAGGGGGTTCCCTCCAAAAATAAACCCAAACCATCACTGCAACTCTTACACCTGCTTTCCCTCGCACCCCTACTGGGGGATAGTGGAGAGTAGGGGCTAATGTGGGGGAGCAACCCCAACGACATCCTTACTCCCTATTTTAACCCATTGGGGTGAATAGGGGCTATGGTGTGGGGTTAGGGTATTCAGGGGGGTAAGAGTTGAATTGGGAGTTGGGGTTGCTCCTATCCCCACACATCAGCCCCTACTCTCCACTATCCCCCAGTGGGGCTGCGAGGGGGAGGCGGTGTAAGGGTTGCAGTGGGTGTCAGGGGCTGCAGGGGGGTGACAGGAGTTGCAGGTAGAGTATAGAGCAGGTAATAATACATCAGCACCAGCCTAACATTAACATAACGTAATATAAATATAATATTAATATAATATAATGTAGTGTAGGCCTATGCTGCACAGGATCCTTACTGGCCCCTCATTCACCCGCCCGGGCCCTCGGATCGGACCATTAGTAGTATCCTGGCACCACTTTAAAGCTGCCACAAGTGACGCGCTGCCGGAAGTGACGACAGAGAGCCGCAGGAAGTGAGGTAAGCGATCGTTCGGGAGGAGACTGTGACGGCGACATGGAGCGTCCGAAAAAGTGAGAGGCAGGGGGAGAGCGGGGGCCGGGTAATACAGTGTGATAATCTACCCCCGCGGGATACCCGGCATGGGGCACCACACCTGTACCCGGGGGGGGGCTCTCAGTGTGAGTCCGGTAATGGGGGGCACCGTGTCACCCTCCGGGGCTCCTTCCTCCCAGCCCTGCTGTACCGTGTGAGCTGCCAGGCCGCCATCCCCGGCAGCGGGGGGGTATCTGATCATCACTACTGTGTGACTGCAAGAATATGCTCCCCTTATATCAGCTATGCTGGTAATAATAATAATAATATTACCCCTTCATGGCGAGGGACATCCCTTACTGATGCTCTGCAGTATGTAGGATTCACATCCTGCAGTATGTAGGATTCATATCCTGCAGTATGTAGGATTCATATCCTGCAGTATGTAGGATTCATATCCTGCAGTAGGCGCATTAATCCAGCTTTGAATTACATCCTTCATACATTTTAAAAGTTTTCCTGCAGGTGCATATGAATTATAATCATTATAGCATGACCGGGGTAGGTCAACCTTGGGCACTCCAAATGTGAACTACATCTGTCCTGATGCTCTGCCAGCATTATGGGAGATTTAGTCTACAACAACTGGACAGCCAAAGGTTGACTACCCCTGTTTTCGGGCTTCATTTTTGATTTGCTGTCCATTAGCATGCACACCTTACTAAGGACCAGTAGAACATTGCAGATCTGGTAAACCTTAGGCAAGTCCACATTATGCCCTGCCAGCTTACGTGTGTACATGTTCCCATTTATGCTTTGTCAGGCTTTCCCCTTCTCCTTCCTTAGAGATCGGATCTTTATACCACTACCCTACACATCTGTATATTTGGTCTCTCAGGTCTGATCTATGGACTTTCAACCTGCAAAACCCGCTTGATGACCTGCGAAATGGCTAGTTTGCTCTTTCCATTCCTCTGTCTTTCATGCAGTTGAACCTGGGTTCAATGTTTTATGGTGTTTGAGTGAAATAACACCTTTCAATGGTCTCTGAAACAAAAGTTTTAAAGGAAGAGACATACTTGGGGTTTATTATGAAAATGTTCTGAAAAGTAGACCTTACATTACTAAATAACTGTTTTCTTCATAATTCCACCAGTTGTAATCGAAATTTCCGTTTCTGAATTGCAATAATTAATATAGCGCCAACCCATTCTGCGGAGCTGTATAATAGGAAACAAGGCAAACCTTTAATTCTAGCAAAACCTATATGACAGTAGGTGAAGTGGGCCCTGCCCAAACAAGCTTACAGTTTAAAGGGACCGCAAGGCTGGAAGTGACCTCAGAAGAGCGCCAAGATAACACTAGCAGAAAAGTCTCAATTTGTTTTGAAAAAAGTAGCGGGGGAAAAAAAAAAATATGTAATCTTTTGCACTGGTGGAAAAATTGTGCATATTCAAATAGAATGGTTAGGGTGCCAAAAAAAAATCAGATTTAAAACATTGTGAAAAAAATCACTTGAAAATTAGACAGAAGTGTTGGCTACACTTTGATAAACCCCCTCCCACCCACCTCCCTCTTTCTTGGTGATGCATTTTTGCACATTGTGGTCCATGTTCCATTGAATATTAAGCTCTGAGATATTTAACTTGCTTAGCTAGTAATTAGCACAATGCTTGATCAGCCTTCCAGCACAGTTGATAGAGTAGAAACATTTACTGGCTGCAGAGTTTTTCAGGAAAGCTTGGAATGTGAACTACTGCCTTGATTTGCAACTGAAAACAAGAATCACTCTTGTGCTTATGTAGGGAATTGGAAGATTAAATATGGGAAGTTTAAGTACACCTGTTGCCTCATATCAATTCAGTGTGGATAATTTGAGGACATCCATTTTAATACTTAAACTAGTGACAATAAATCAAAATTTCCTCTCTACCTTTAATTATAAAGTTAAATATATTGGAGACTACACAGAATTAGATTCAACCCATACATTTTTTTTTTTTTATCTCGTTATGTTTATCACTAACTGTAGTATAGCAATAATGCATTCGGAGGGGGGGGGTCGTGTAGGCACGTGAGCCATTATACTGTAAGCCCCATATACCTTATCCCCAATTATTGCATTTCAGTAGCATTCACACTTAGCTGAACCTTTAGAAAAACACAAATTTGCTTATTCTATATGCCTTTATTAACCCCTTAAGGACCAAACTTCTGGAATAGAGGGGAATCATGACATGTTATGTGTCCTTAAGGGGTTAAACATAAGGAAATTACTTTTATTTTCTTGTATTAGAAAATGTTCTTCCTTTCTTCGTAATCCATTGAGTATATAAGTGGTATTGTTCTCTTTTAAAAGTTGAGAAAGAGTATAAAGTTTAAAACATTGGGTTTTATTTCCCTCTTTAGTTTAAAAAAAGAAATAAACACATTTCACCTTCTCTGAAATAAGTTCTCATGATCTGGGTACAATTCAGCACTCAGAAATTGCCATACGCTGTCATTCTCTGAGAAGCATTAGCAACGTCCAAGGTCTATCATGCTGTATTGGGTAACGCCAAATGTGAAAACCTTTTGAAAATAGAAGCTCTTCAATGAGGAAGTGTCTTATTGGATGTAAGTGCCGCTTCAGGTGGGCGTTTGGACACATTAAACATTGCCGTTTCTCGAATACTAGCCGTGTTTATACTGTCCAAAAAAAGGGGAGGGGGGGACTGGTCTAAGTACCAAAACTACTTTATTAAAACAAAGTGGGTTTGGAATTTAGAGTTTTCCTTTTATATGTTTATGTAGCATAAATCAGTGTAAAGCAATTCATTTTTTAAAATACATAAACACGGATTCGCTTCCATATCTGTGGTATTCAAATGTAATATATAGCCTCTGTAATATATAAGCCTCTTTTAGGCTTGCTGTAAAAGGTCAGTTGAAATTTTTTGCCATTAAGACAAAAAGTTTGAAAAAGTTTTTTTTTTTTTTTAAATATTCATTAACCTATCATTAACTCTATGCATTTATTTATTGCAGAATCCTGTGTGTAGGTCTGCGGAGGGCCCCTGGATATCACATGACATAATGCTGGGGCTTGGAGCTCTAGAAAGAAGCCAGCTGCTTAATCTGGAGTCCCCTGTGCACAGAACAATAGCAGAAATCTATCCCGTATTACATGTTCACTTAATTAACAGTCAGGACCTGAGAACAAACCTGGGGCAGGAACCTCTGGTGTCTGATGTGCATGAGAGAAACAGGGCAATTAGTAGTGACGATAAAGACAGTGAGCATATTCCAGCTCCTAAGGGAATTGGTGAGACTGGGGACCAAGGGTCGAAGGACAGGGACATCATTTCTGTGGATGTAATGTTGGGTACTGTGGAGAGAGGAGGCTCTCTGGAGATCTCTCCATCCACTCAGAGGTTGCTACTCCAGGAATCGGTAAGTAGTAAAAATACTGGTGGTGGAACTCTGTGTACAGTGTTAATAAGTTTGTTTTCCAGAGTAGTGATTGAGTAATGGCAAAAATAGTGGTTTCATGTGGTAGTTATAGCATTGACTTTACATCTGTGTAGCACAGAGACACAGACTTGCAGTTTTAGGGTTGCAAACCTTTTTACACAGCAGCATGTGCCTGGATGTTAATTATTTGCTAAACCTCTCTCCAAAGATTTCAGCAACTTAAAGGGATTCTATAGTGCCAGGAAAACAAACCCGTTTTCCCGGCACTATAGGCTCCTGCAGTGCTGAAGGGGTTAAAACCCCTTCAGTAACTTACCTGAACCCAGCGCCGATGTTCCTCGGTGCTGGGTTAGGCTCCGCCCACGCTCAACGTCGGTGGGGCAGACCTAATGCGAATGCGTGGCAATGGCTGCACTTGCATTAGGATTTACCCATAGGAAAGCATTATTCAATGCAGAGCGTGAGGATGTCCAGCATCAGATAATGGACCAAAGTTGTGTTTCGATTCCGGACGTCCGTCTAGTGACTTCTGGGTAGATGAGGAGCTAACCCTCAGAGGTAATAATTGCAATGAGTTTACATTTTTCCTGCTTTAATTGAAACACAGAAAGTAATGGCCGATAAGAACCATTTGGCCCATCTAGTCTACCCAATTTTCTAATACTTTCATTAGTCCCTGATCTTATCTTATAGTTAGAATAGCCTTATGCTCACCCCATGCATGGTTAAACTACCTCACTGTGTTAATCTCTACCACTTCAGCTGAAATGCTATTCCATGCAACCACTACCCTCCAAGTAATGTAATACTTTCTGGTGTTATTTTAAAAACCTGTCCTCTTGTTGTGGTAGTTTTTTCTTCTTTTAAATGCTTTCCTCCTGTAATCCATGAACTAGTTTAGTAGCCCTTCTCTGAACTCTCTCCAAAGTATCAATATCCTTCTGGAGATACCATCTCCAGCACTGCCTGAGGTCTCCAGCCCTTTCCTCTTTCTACTGCTAATACCTCTCCCTATACAACCAAGCATTCTGCCAGCATTTCGTTGCCTGCCTACCTTTGTCATAATTGTAGCCAAGTATATGCACCCTACACCAAAAACAGCTTTATCCACACTCAGTTTTCTGTCACCAGTTAACAAGGATCCTTGGTGATAGGTATGTAATGTATCAATGTGTGTGCCTACATTTTTGTGTCCCACCCTATGGATGAATGAATAATAGTCTAGAGGTTGGGGGGGGGAAATACAATTAAAACAATATAAATATATATCTCTCATAGGATTTACAATTCAAATTGATGCTTTTTATTGATGCAAATTAATGAAAACAATAGTCTATGTTTTAGTCCTACCCGGACTTAAAAAAAAAAAAAAAGGACTGAAATGTTGACTATTGCTGTTTTCATGAATTTGCATCAATTTGAATTGTAAATCCTATGAGTGCGTTCATCTTGGAACTTTCATACCTGTGGCTGCAGTTTTGCACCAAGGTGCTGAGAAGATTGGGGAGCTGGGCATACGTATTTGCACACACATATAATATGTTTTCATTAAAGTGGCTCTGTCATGCAAACTTACCTTTCTTCTATTGTTTTCTTTTCTCTTCCTCTTTCAGAATCTGTTCTTAATTTCTTATCTAGTTATCTTTAAAAAAATAAAACAACACAGGGGCTACTTTATCTTGTGTATTTCACGTATATTTTACAATCTTGACAAGGGGCAGGGCATAAGGCCTACTTTGTCTTATGTATTAAAGAGAAAGAGATCAGAAATGAAGAAAACAAGTACCGATTCTGAACAAGGAAACAATAGGAGAAAAGTAAGTTTGAGGTGACAGCAACCCTTTAATCAGATGTTTGTTTTCCCCAACAAATTTAATTTGAAACAATTGGTACGCCAAAAAAACATTTTCTTAAAATACTTAGTAAATATAGTTTCTTACGCTGCACCTTTTTATATTAAAAAAAAAAAAAAAAAGTATAAAGTGCAGAGCATCCATAAAATCTGGGAGATATAAATGCAGAAACATTAGAGGCTATTGGTATTACACTCACTATATCAGAGTGGATTATATGTCACTCTGACATTTGACTGCCCTGGAGGGATCAAGCTCCTTGTGATCGGTGGATCTTCTGGGCTATGTACCAGATCCAAGATATGGACTGTAAATCTTTTAGCAGGTTTTATTGTTGAAAAGGTGAAAATTTTAAATACCAATCGGGTAAAAACATAAAAATAGAGTAATCCATGGTGTCTCCTCAGTGTCTTTACTTTGTATCAGTTTCACATCAACTGCTCGGCATAACGTTTTGCTCCTCCCACTGGGAGCTTTTTCAAATGATGATATGTCATCTGGAGTTTCATTTGCTTGTGAAATGAACACCCTCAAAACAGAGGTCATGTTGAAAATATTGCTCACAACTGAGGTAACAAATATTTTATATTCAATACTTTTTTTTTTTTTGGCTCGTTGTCGTTGGGGGGGGAGGACTAAACGAGCAAACTTGTGATAGTTCTCCCTATATCTACTAGGCCACATCTACATTTATTCAGATTATGTTGTCCTAACCTAGCTTCTTCCGCAACTACCATAGTCTGGATGTAACCCTTCAAGCAACAAAAACTCAGAGGTGCAGAGGGCCCCAGGAGTGGCGGGGAGTGACAGGGGGCCGGGGATTAGATATGGAGCCTGTGTCAGAAATCATGATTCATTTGTCTAAGAGCAACATCAGGATAGGATTTACAAGCAAACTTCCATGCAATAATGGCTGATATCCATCAGGACATCCAGTCTCTGGGAGAGAAAATGGATCGTGTGGAATCCATGCTAGATGGACTCTGCATAGCCTATAATGAAGTTGTTGAAAAGCTCACTTACCTGGTATCTGAGCACAAATGAGAGCTGTCCAAACTGGCGAAGTCCGATCCCAGTGTAGTAATGTGTCAAAGGCATCCCAGAGTCGGTCTCCTGGCCAAGTTACAGCATTAAGTTTTCATGGCCATCCTTCTAGTGCTTTGACTGTGATTGTCTAATGGACAGAGCTCACAGAACATCGCAGGTGATGTTCCCAGAGACATATTGGTGGATCTGCACTACCAAGTCAAAGGCAGACCACCGTCCAAAATAGCATTGCAACTAAGCACTAAACTAAAGGCCCTTTGGAACAAATATCAACTAAATGATGCATGGAGAGAGCATTTGCCTAGAGATAGGGTCTACTTGTACTATCCAGGAACCCAACACCGATACTTGCGTATTGACTTATGCCTAGTTAACACGTATACCTTTCAATCCCTTACCACAGCTTCCATTCAAAAATAATGGTAATCTAGTTGGATCATGCACCAATTATTTTGTCATTCTCGGCTGCATTTCCAGTAACAGGTAGGAGTTCTTGGATACTGTGTGACGCTTTACTTACAGAGTAAGCTATAAAAGCCTGCATTGCAGATACCATATCTACATTATTTAGTTGTAATTCAGCAGTCCCTAAAGAAATCGACACATCATGGTTAGCCCACAAAGCCAATACTAGGGGTCACTTAATACAACAGGTGTCTATTAAAAAGAGAAAATTCTTAGCGTAGGAAGAACTGCTCTTGGCTACACTTTCAAAACTGCAAACAAGAAGCTTCTTATATCCCTGTTAAGGACCAGGAACCAGACAGAGACAGAACAAGATGAAAAAAACACCTTTATTAATAAATAGAAAATAACGGAATAACCAAAAGCAAAGTCCAGGAGGCAAGCAGGGGTCAGGCACTAAAGCAGGTAATCAGACGAGCCAGGATCAGGAGAACGGAGAGCAGCGAAGTCAGGAACAAGGCCAGAGTCAGGAACCAGGAACAAACAGGAAACATAGGAACAAGGAGACTTCTGGGGAACAGGAAACCACGCAAGGGCAAGGAGGTATTGGGATTTGCTGCCTAAATAGGCTGCCTGATTAGCAGCAGGGCTGGTTACTACTGTCAGGTGAGTAACCGTGGCAACATACTGAAGGAGCTGATCCTTAATCTCAGCTGAAAACGCAGACACAGAAAAAGGAAGGGTTGCTGTTTAAAACGGCAAAGAAACCCTGACAATCCCACAAGCAAGGTTACAACTTCAAGCCTTGCAACTAAAAGTTTGTTTCAACTTGTGTCGTTTGAAGCAAACTTATTACTCCCAAGGCATTCTGGTGCGTAAACGTTTAGCAGCCAAACTGAAAGTTACAAATCTTTAAAGCAAAATCCCTTATATCTTAACATCTGCTGGGGTGAAGGCAACCAACCCAACTACCATAGTGAATTTGCTAATTAACTAAAATCCGATTTATAACCTAGTCGAAGATAAGGCATTGACTAGCCCATCCCAGTCTTATATTCTTGATGTCCGTATCCCTGCTCTCACTACAGCCCAACCCAGCAATAACCCTTATCACGATAGAGGAAGTGCTGATGGTCATATGACCTACTTGCTCCGCATTTTTTCAACTCTATTAAACAGAATTAAAGATTCTGGCATTATCTCGTCAAATGCTAGTCGCACATATAGCCCAAACCCAAACAAGGGAAGTCGTCCAATACTTGTCGGCCAATCTCACTGCTAAACGCAGACACCAAACAGTTTGCAAAGATATTAATCACTTACTTAATCAAATATCCACAGAACAATCCAGGTTCGTACCAGGCCGCCAAGTCGATAAACTTTAGACGCACCCTTGATCTCATAGAACTCTCCAGAAGAAACCAGGTCTTCTCGTTGCCCTTGATGCCGAGAAGGCATTTGACAGGCTCAATTAGCAATATCAAAAAGGTTCTCCTTAACGTCATGTTACCTGCTTCTTTTCTACAGTTAATGCCCTCTATATAAACCCCATAGTGAAAATATTTAACTCTGGATTTATGTCCTAGCTGTTTCACATAATGAATGGGACCAGACAGGGCTGCCCCCTCTCCCCATTAATTTTTATTATGGCCTTAGAACCGTTGGTGGGGGGAGTCAAAACCGATCCAAGCATCAGGGAAAACGACTCACGTATTGGCAAACAGCTAATATCTGTTTTTGTGGACAACATACTTCTAACACTCCCCAACCCAACAGTCCTCTCAATTCTGAACAACTATGGTAAGGTATCCTACTACAAGGACAACATAACTAAAACCTAAGTCCTCTCATTTTAACATCTTCCTGACTACTCTAGTCACAGTCCCTGCATTGTATCACTTTGACTGGCCAACAAAATACCTATCCTACCTTGGCTTCAAATTAACACTACACTTGCACTCCTTTATTCAGGAAAATTGCATAAGTCTGCTGGTGAAGGTTCAGGCTATACTTAGAGTAGACTGCATACAAAATATCCTGGGATGGTCGCATTCACTCAATTAAGTGCTCTCCCACTGATGTATATGTTTTGCACTCTTCCAGTCAAGCTTTCTAAGTTTATTCTCCAGCATTTCCAATGCATCCTGAACTCCCATATCTGGAAACAAAACGACCTCCACAGATGGCAATGAATACTTTCTGTAACTGACTATGCATGGGGGCCTGGGAGTCCCAGACATTGAGTTACTACATGGCATTTATCCTAGCCCAATGGTAGCAATGTTAAATACAGATAAAATGCTACTATGGTGTCGTCTTGAACAGTTAACGTGGCAGCATTTACAGACTCTCAACTACTGCTAACGCCGTCACGCCTCTATACTAAAAAATGCGTTCGCAATGATATGTTTAGCAATATAAATCTGGAGGACATGGGCGTTCACAATTATCAAGCTGTGCTCCTATTTTTATTTTGCCCTGCTTGTCGTTTTGCAATTTCATACAAATGACCTGAATCTAAAAACGTAGTACCATTCATACCGAGAGAAGTTTCCTCAACATATCCTACCAGAATTAAGGGCACAATCCTCTCTCCCTTGAAATGGAGTTTAATTTTAGGTGTGTGCATTTGGTGGTTGGCCAGTGGCAGGGCTGCTCAGATAAATTTTGGGTGACTTAATAAATTCTGGAACTAAAATATAATTTAGAGCAATGTGTTTTATTAACACATACTGATTTCTAAACACTTGTATTCTAGTTTAGCGGCACATTAATGTATTATTGCTGTGGAACTCCCATATATACTCTTACTAACAATATGGAGCTACTAGAAAAGAGGGACATTAGGATAGAAAAGAGACAGATGGATTTGAGCAAAATAGGGATTGTCCCTCCTAAATAGGAATGCATGGGAGGTATGCATTTTACATTCTTTACCTTGTAATGGAACTGATTAAAATAAATTATTTGAAATAATGATTTAAATCACATTGATTTTATATAAAGCAACAATTATGTTAGTGGAATAGTATGAGGTTGCACTAATATGGTAAGGGTAAGGCACTAAAAGGTTTTATGGAAGCTTGCTGTTTATTTGCAATCCATGCATTAATTTCCCTCGTTTTCTCACACGTCTTGCTTGCAAGGTTCTAATTGGAACACTAACAAGGTGACACAATTCCATGTGCAGAGATCCCATTAACCATTATATCTGTACATTTTCACTAAGCAATGGGAGTTAGTGAATTTTCAACTTTGTTGAATTTACATTTAAAATGACACTATAGTCCACAAAACCACTTTAGCTTAATGAAGCATTTTGGGTGCATATATCAAGGGCCTGCAATCTCACTGCTCAATTCTCTGCAATTTAGTAGATAAATCCCTTTGCTTATACAGCCTTAGTCACACCTCCCTGCATGTGACTTACACAGCCTTCTAAAACACTTCCTGTAAATATTCCACTAATGTTTACACTTCTATTACAAATTTTGTTTAATTTAAAATGTAGTATCTCCTGCTCTGTTAATAGCTTGCTAGACCCTGCAGGAGCTTTCTGTATTTAATTTAAAGCTAAATTTAGAGAGGAGATAAAAACTTTTAAAGTAAGTTACGTCTGAAAATGAAACCATTTGTTTTTTCATGCAGGCTGTGTCAGTCACAGCCAAGAGAGGTGTGGCTAAAACAGAATCAAATGTGATTTTACTTTAGAGGGCATGATCTATACATAAAAACTGGTTCATTAAGCTCAAGTTGTTCTGGTGACTATAGTGTCCCTTTAAATGTTCAGAGGAAACGTGCGTTTGGGAATCATAATGGTGCGTACTATAGGTTTCCTCCAGTGTGTAACCAGGTCCGTTTGTTTCAGGTGGAGCCTTCTGCTCTTCATGTTGCTACAGGTTTTCTTGACATCTCTCTTCATTCAGAACATCCAAATCTGCTGCCTAGAAAAGGTATTTGTGAACTTTTCTATTGTCTGTGTTCTTGTGTCTTGCATTTTCCACAATTGTATTTTTTAACAAAATCTGTGCTGCCTTTTTGCATGTTTCCCATTGATCTTTTCACTGACTCTACAGAAAACATAGTTTAGGTATTTTTTTTTTTTTGTCAGTTAAAACTCAGGTGGGGGCATTAAAAATTTATGTTTTCATAATAAAAAAAAAAAAAAAAGTCTTCTCATTGGAATTCATACTGCCTAAAAGGTCAAATTATAGAAAAATAGATGTGAATACTAACCTTAAAATAGCTGGGATTAACTCTTTGCCCACATAGATACAAAATAGCACACCAGTGATCAAGGTAGGCATACTGAGGAACACACTGGATTCTAGGGATGATAGAAGTCACAAGTGAGAAGTAATTGAGGAGTAGTCTGATAAATACAAAAAGCACGCCAGTAGTGCGCTATTGCTTATCAAGAGGAAGCCATAACAAGTTAATGAACTGTCTATAGTGTGCGTTTAAATAGGCCTCATGGGATCCTCTTTGGTTGTCCTCCTAATTGTGACACCAAAACAGTCATGTACATAGTTGCACAAGCGTTCATCTGAAAATTGACATAAGTTCTGAATTCCATCATAGGATGCATATGAGCAGAGTCTTACATCTGACATGACAGCAGAATGGTGCATTGCGTCAGTGTGCAACATATCAACAGGAAGCAAGATGGGTAGAAACATGTACTGTGACAACTATTTTTGCAAGAAACTCAATAGAAAAACAAAAGCAATCCGTCTGTGAAAAAGAAAAGAAAAAGCAATCAGAAGCAAAAATCCAATTTCAAGAATAACACTACGCAAACTTTTAAATTATATTGTCGTAGTATTTGGGACCGTGGCTTAAGGTTTTTCTCCCACAACAGATCCATAGTGTCCCCTTGTCTGACTGTGATAGTATTCCATAGTAATAGGAAGTCCCAAAAACCTTTTTAAAGAGTCCATATTATTCACCCAGTGTCTTTCCCCAGTATCACCACAATAATGCATAACACTTTTCCTATGGCATCCATCAAAGGCCATTCGAAATGTCTGCAAATTTTTAGTTCTTCTGACATTCTTCTTGCATGTTATGTGTGTCCAAAGGTAGATTCAGACACCCCATCAAATCTACCTTTGGACTTACTTCAGGCGGCTATGGTGGGGTGAGCTAAGACCACCAAGGAAATGGATCTTTCTGTAATTTTCCCTTTTCTTTTGTTTAGAAAACTTTTGAAGACCTCTACCTGATCAGAGGCTTTTTCCTAAACTGCACATATAATATGAATGAAATTCAAGAAAATGTGTGTGTGAAACCACCTTCTCTGTGTCAGAGCCTGGGGACTGACTTACAGCTGCAGTGGTTTTTATAAGTCGCCGCAGTTACAAGCCTTACGGCAGGGAGCGTGGGTGCAAAGTACTCTCTGTCCCTCTAACGATTTCCTTAAAGAATTCATATAGGAAATGCCACTAGTTTTGCTTTGCCTATGACTCTTTAACCTCACTTACATGGCTGCATATATGAAATGGCAGAATAGGAATTAGAAACTGTTACTTTTGGGAAAAATAATAAAGCAGTCATAATCACAAACTTGTTTTGTTTTGTCTCCAGATGAGGAAATATTGGATGATTCTGTGCTCCAGATGAGTGCTAAAGCTGCAGGTATGGTAGCCATGGGAGCTGGGGCAGTTGTACATTCAGAGCAGAGTGAGAGAGTCTGTATTCATCAAGCTGATACTCACAGCAATGAATGCCCAGAATCTGATTCCACAGACATTTTGTCACAAATGTCCAACTTAATCACCACACAGCCCCAGACTTTGTCAGGCAATTCCTCTGAGGAACATGTTAACCAGGAATGCTCTGTATCAACATCGTACAGTGACAAATTCTTCCCATTAGACAGCAAAATTGACATAGACGCAGCAAGCAGTGCTTTGTGCCTTGAAGATCCACATTTGCCACTTCACTGTAGTGCACTTAACACATTAAATAATGTTCGCTCTAAAACTACTGATCCTTCCTGCAAGCCTGTAGAGTCTGAAATAATGTGTATTACAGAGGAAGCTAAAACTTCTTCCTTTTTATCAGAGAGTTTGAGAGCATGTGTGCCTGTCAATGAAGTAGAAATTAATTCTGGAAATGTTTTGAAACATGCTGTGCTTCTAGACAGCAGCTGGAGCTCAGGGATGTCTGACCATCAGATGACTGAGAATGTATCTTCTACAAACAGCCAAAATCACCAATGCAGTGAAGCATGTCATTTTTCACCAATACACACCAAGACTACTGATGCATGCACAGAACATGTTCTTCCACAGGACTCCTCAAAGTCTTCTGATATTGTAACAAGCCATCAATTACTTGTAGAAGAGATTAGTGAAGCAGGTGATGCCTTAGAGGCTTCATCCAACAACCCAAGCCAGGCATTGACTTTTGAACATGTGTTAAGTGCCAAAGCAGACAGAGAAGAATGCTCTTGTTCACCGTCCACTGTTGAGTGCCGTATTAACAACTTGGAAGGCTCCACTGATTGTAAGAAGCAGTCTAGCTTAGTCAGAGACGCCGAATGTTTAGCATCATTTGAGGATATAAAAGACTGTTCTACGGATATGGACCACAGTCCTTCATTACCATCAACAAAACATTGTGAAGATAATCGAAGTGGTTGTTACCAAACGATTTGCAAGACACTAGCAACTGCAGCTCAAGGTGTTTGTGAAAGTTTGCATGGGAATCCTAATCACTTGAAAATGACAGAAGAACTGTGCCAAGTACAAGACACCCATCTACATGAACACAAGACTAGCAATGAAGCGTCTCCAGTTACTTTTGTAGTCCACACCGTGCAAGAAAATGAGGAAACGTCATTCAATAGTAAGGGAATCGAGGGACTAGTTACTTGTTCCCAAGCACAGCTACAGAGCTCTTCTATATTTGAACTCCGTAACCCAATCAATCCAGGTCTACTTACAGTGGATGCCCATTCTCTGAAATGCGAAGACATAGCCTCAAGTGAGAGTTTAGCTTCAACAGGAATTAACACAGAATCTGGCAAAGTTGATGAGCTGCTCCAACAAATTGGACCTCCTGAAATAAATATTCATGAACTTTCTAGGGATAGCTGCTGCATGCTGTCTAGTCAAAGGCAGGACACACTTACAGAAGCACACTTGAAATCAAATTCCATGAAGGAAGTGCCTTATCAGAGCACAGGCAGCAAAAAGTTTGCTCTGACCAGTTGTGTTGAAGCTACTCCACTGAATGCACTTGTACCTTACGTAGATATTTTGGGATCATTAGTTGTGCCGAAAGTAGCAACTGTACAGTCAATGGAGACTTCTGAACCTCTTCTTTCTTTCACATCAAACATTCTAAGTTTGGAACGGGAGATATTGGATGACATAGTACTCAGAACTGACAAAGAGCAATCTTCATTGGCTTTAACTAGAAAAACGAGTGATCAGAGTATGGAAGTAGAGTGTATTGAAGAACTGGAACAAAACGAACCTTGTCTCCCTGAATACCCGATGGCTGACTATCCCAATTTGCCTGTTGGAAATGCTACCAGTTTAACTCATTCATTGAATGAGAAGTCTAATTGTCCACATGTCCAATCTAATGTGAAGACAGAAAAACAAGAAAATTCCCAACTGGAAGTTCCTGCACCTGCAGGGGTGATTTATCAGCCCGCGTTATCACCAACATGTCTTTTAGATGAGAGAGACACTGATGCATTATCTGTTGAACAGAATAAGAAATTCTGTGTTCAAACGGAGAAAGATTTGCTTTTATTTCAGAGCTATAAGGATGTTGACCACTGTGCAGATGTTTTACCAGCTGGCACATTTTCCAATTTAAAGCCATTCTGCTCTGTGAAACAAAACAAAAACTTTAATAAGAAGCAACATTATGATAGTACGGTTGTCAACTTACTTACCCCTATTTCTAATGTAGTTGAACTTTCTTTAGATAAACAACTGAATCCAATAGGTACACAGTCTATTGATTTAAAACCGTACACTGAATCTAGCAGTATCAACGAATTGGTGTCTGAATACAAGAAATCTTTCAAAGACTTTTCTTATGAAAGAGATCAAGTTTCAATGAGCAGTATCCTATCAATCACCAGTGATAATTTTCCTCTAGTCTCTAGTGTAGATAAACAGACATTTGGAAGAACTAATCAAGTAGTACCTGCTGAAACTGTACAGAAGCAAATTAAGCAGAAATGGATATGTGCTAAGACACGGGAAAGGGTTTCTGTCCATAAGGTTCCGGAGCACTTGGAAAAGACTCTTCTGCAAGAAAATATATCACAAGCGAAACTGTCAAAGCCAAGCATTAGCCAGTCTACATCATGTGATGTGAAGAACATTTCATTTACAAGTAGGCAAATGAAAAATAAATGTAAACGCTCATTTGAGCACAGGACTGTAATCCAATGCCTTGGTAACAATGCACCACAGGAAGTTAGAATGCAGCATATTTGCAGTAGTCAAGATGCATCGTTTGTTAAACACAAAGGGATCCTGCAAGCAAATGATGACCTGTTAAAAGACACTCCATGCTCAGCCCAAGATACTGCGAGCCTCTACCCTCACCCACTAAGGGAGTGCAGTGACAAAGGATTAAGTGCCTTCAATAGCAGCTGTCATTTAAGCAAGATCCTTCCCATGAAAAGACAGCCAAGCAGGAAGTGCAAGAGTGCTCCTGTGCTAGAATATGTAAGAGTGCCACGTCCATCAAAGATCTGTAAGAGTGCTGCAGTTATGAAGGCCCCAGCGTTAACTGTCCGTAAAGATGATTGTAGAATCCAACTTGATATGGACACTACATCAAAACTGTTAGGTTCACAATGTACCACACAGCCATCTAGTCTTCAAAGGGTACAGAGAGGGGTTGTCAGTGCCTATATGAGAAACACATTCTTTCAAAAATGCACCAAAGATCAAACCTTACTGCACCAGTTGTCTTCAATTGCCTCTAAATTAATGACCCCATTTAAGAGTTCCCGCCAGCAGAAATATCCTTGTTTAAGTGGAGCTCCATTTGGTGGTGTGCAATTTCAAGCTAGGAAATTGCTAGAGGTGTTTTCATGTGTTAATATGAAGCTGAGCTCCCCTGCTGGAGAAGTGTGGTCAGAGACTCTATCCCATACAGGAGGCAGAGGCCAACTTCTCTCTCAGCCACCGGATCTCTTTGCCGCATGTCCTCCTCACCCAACCATTAATAGTATAAGTAACAGTTTTGCCCTGAAACCCATTGACCATACAAGCTTTCCAATTTCCTTTCATATTAAGTTGAATTCGAATGATTTACCAGACTTTGTTAGGTTTAGTCCTCCATTTTGTACATCTAAACGTCCAACAAGCACCACTTTGTCACCCCCATTAACTGAATGGACATTTTCTCTCTCTCTTTCACCGCATTTTCCTGTTACTTCTGAGAATATGCATATGTTTACTCAGTGTAACCCACACTTTAGACCATTAGAAGCCCATGACTCAGGTTCTTGCCACAGAAAATCTTCCGTAAAAAGAGGCTCTGGCTGCTCAATTCGTGGCCTTCACACTATTCTAGCACTTTCATCTCCCGGGTGTTATAGGTTATGGACCAGAAGACGGAATCTGGGAAGCAGAATCCCCACCATCCAGCGACTTTCCATGTCACAGTTTGCCCTGGGTATACAGGATTTAAAATCACAAGTTTTACCAACAAGGAAACATTTATCTTTGCCCTATTCTCTTGGCCGTGTCTTATCTACATGGAGTCAACATGGCCCATCATCTTCTTCATCTCCCACTGATTTCACCACCCCTCATCTCAACTGCAGTGTATGGCATCCAGGTCTCCTCTCCAACATCAGGTAACCACAACTGAATTACAAATATTCCTTAATGCAATGTCTCGTCTGTTGCAAGGTTGGGAAAAAAACAAATCTGTATTTCTTTTTAATATCAAGATGTGTGAATCCTCTTCTAAGATTGCATCATGAACAATTTAGACCTCTTTCTGTTTTAGGTATAGATCTAATACTAAGTTAAGACGACGTATCCCTCAAATAATACTGTAGGTTAGAATCTGTCCTTTGCAAACTTGATAACGTTAATTTTTTCAGGTGCTGTGCTCTAGGTGTATGTAATGTTGCATTTTTTTTAAAATTTGCGGCATAAAAAGCATTATGCTTCACCTTTAATTTAAAATAGATCTATAAATAACACCATAAATACTCAGCATGTGTCACCTTTTTTGCCTGATTAGTCAGTAATATAATTGAGTTCTCATAAATTCCTGTAAATCCATCCATAGAGACAGACCAGAGTCTAAGATAATATTCTGGAATATATACAGTAATAATATTCCATGGATATAAATATTTTGAAGTAAATCCTTTGTTTCAGTCTCCAGACCTACTTATCTTTTGTGTTGGTTATTGCTGGTGTGAAGACAAACCGAGAATAGGTGCTAATTTGCCCAGTGACTAGTAGTACCCTTTGTATATGATCACACCCACATGGGCACTGCAGAACCAAAATTCAAGGCAGGTCCCCTCTACGCTAATGTAGAATCCCAGTCCTCATCTCTGAGGTAAAGTTGATAGTCCTTCAGGCAGTGGAAAAAATAGGTCCACACCTGTATTACATTTTTAGACTTTATTTTTAAATTATAAATAATTATGTTAAGATACAATTATATATAGCATTGACTATAGAACATCTCCCATCTTGCTTATGAAATTGGCACTACACTGGGCCTGTAATAGGTCTATATAACAAGATGATGAATTGCTTGATTTGTCTCTTAATCTTCTTTAATAAAACTATATATGGAGACAGGTGGTGGTATTTAATTCTGCTACGTAAACCTCTTTATTCCAAGTACACTGCATACTTAAATGTTACATTTTATGCAGAGAAGACCTTGCCTAACTTACACATGGTTCTGCTTAAATCAAAATATAATGTTGCTCCGATTTCAAGTGTAGTCTTCCCATCACTATAGTCTATTCCTTTTTATATTTAGAAACTATTCATGTCAAGAAAGAGAACTTTCGGCTTCTTCATTTTGTCTATTCTAGATTAATTCTGTGTGTGGCCTTCCTGAATGGATATTTCCTATAGGTACATTTTAG